ATGTGGGCAGAGGGATGGGGATGGGGAAGGTGGGCTGCAGGAGAAGGTGGGATGGGGAAGGTGAGGATGCAGGAGGGGAAGGTGGGCTGCAGCCCAGGCATGTGGGAGGCTCTGTGGAGGGGCTCTGTTTTGCTGAGGATGTGGAATCACATCCCCCCAGCACTGGAAGGCAGCAGGCAGCTGGCCAGCCTTCAAAACACATTCCCAGACCTGAAGCATTTATGGATTTCTCTCTGGAAACCAAGCAAGCTCCAGCACTGTGGGCAGGAGCTGCCAGCAGCTGCAGGGGTGGCAGGGCTGGGAGATCTCCTGGGGCAGGGGGCAACTGCTGCAGCCACCGAGTGCCAGCACAAGGTCACTCCTGGCCTTTCTGTGCTGGTTTGAAGCCTCAAGCTCCAGGGCCTTTCCTGCTGCACTCAGAAGAGGGTTTGTGTGTTTGCGTGTTTGTGTGCTTGGCTGGCCTCTGGTTTTTCTAGGCAGGAATTCATTTTTAATTTAAATTTTGTTGTGAGCCACAGCACAGAGCAGAGGTACTGGGGTGACAGGGAATCCTGCAGTCCTGTGGGATCCGTATCCAAATCCCAGTGACTCCTGTCCTGCTGCCCCTCAGGCACAGCTGCATCCCCAGGGCCTTGTCCCTCACTCAGGCTGGGCAGCACCAGCAGAGCTTGCAGTGGCTCCCCTGCATTGCCCTGGATTGGAATTTGCATGAGGAATGGCATTCCAGGAGGAATTTTCACAGAGGAGCCGAGGTTTGCATCAGGAGGGGCAATACATCCTTCCTGGGCTGTCACTCGGCTTCATCTGCCTTCCCCCACTGGAGTTAAAGTGCCTGGGGTGGTAAATCCTGCAGCACTTCCAGCACTCCAGGCTCCTCCCAGGGTCCAGGGAGGGCACAGCCAGCCTGGCAGGGATGAATCACAGAAAGGAGGCAGAAGCAGGGCTCGGCCAGCAGGGATTTATTGATCTGAGGTTCTGCTGCAGTGCTGGGGGTGTGGGGAGCAGAGGAGCCCTTTGGGGCATCTGACACACCCCTGAGAGGTGACACGGGGAGAGAGGGACACGAGGGCCTTGGGGACAGACAGGAACCCTCCTGTGATGCTGTGACCCCATGGCTGGGGTGGCTCAGAGCTCAGGGCTGTGGGTTCTGTGTCCCCAGGGAGCTGCAGGTGGGACAGGGAACCTTCCCTGTCAAGTGCCTTTTAGTAAGGACCTGATGGGGTGGGGAAAGAAGCAAAGGAGACAGCGGTCCTTGAGAAAGCTGGATGGGGATGGAAGAGCCAAGGTGGTGACCTGCTGTAAGCCTGGGAGCTCTGGATCCCTCTGGGATCCCTTGTCCTGCTGCCAGGCCTGGGGAGAGCTGGAAGCAGCAGCAGGAAACCACAGAAACCACGGAACAGGGAGAGGTGCCAAACCAAACTAAAGCAAACCAAAGCACTGGCCTGGGTGGCCAGGGAGATCCTCCTCCCTCAGAGGGGAGCTGGGAGTCCCACCAGCCCCTGCTGGGGATTCTGCAGGCCAGGCCAGGTGAGGTGAGGTGCTACAGACCCAAACAGGGACAGAAATGGGTCAGACAAATGAGCAATTAAACAAACTCGCTGTTCTCCCCGGGCTGGCCTGTGCATGATTAGAATGAGCTCCCCTGGCTATTGAGGTCACCGGGGGGCATCAGGAGAACACAACCGAGTCACTGGAGCTTGTTCTGGTGGAGCTCACACTGCTCCCTGTGCCCAGCTGGCCCCTGCCTGCAGAGCTGCTCTCCCTCTCTTCCCCAGCCTCGTGCCTCAGGCCATGCTGTCACTTCCCTGGTGACATTTGTCTGCCTGCCCTGGCCTGGCTCCAGCGCATCCCAGCGCTTCCCTCTGCAGGCAGCACCAGCGTGCCGGAGCCACGGGCCATGGCATGGCACCGGATCCACGGGCACAGCTGATCCTTGTGCCACCAAGAGCTGCCACGTGGCAGCAGGGGTGGCCTCGGAGATGGAGGAGGTGGCAACTGCCAGGGTTAGCAGCTGTCACAGCTCCTGTGGCAGCAGCGAGTGGGGAACAAAACCCACCCAGCCACTCTGCTGGCAGCTGGGTCCCCTGGGGCTGAAAAGGGTCTGTGTTCTTTCAAAAACATTTCATAAGCAGTTATTTTTCCTTTCCCCAACATGAATCAAAAGCACTTGCTGCACCCTCTGCACTCCAAGGCCAGGCAGAAGTGTTGCTGTTGACTTGAAGCATTCCTGACTCTCGTAGAACAACTGATCCCATTTTTGCCAGGCTTGCCTTCTTTTCTAGAAACCAAACCCTGGTGTCTGTGCAATGCCCTGCTCTGTTTTACACCAATCCAACGATGTGTAATGAATCCCAGTTTGCATTTCTAAGCAATGAATTGTGAGGCTGCCCCAAGTCCTTCTAGCGTGTGTGTTCCCCCACACCTGCTCCTTGGTTTTTGCTGTGTCAAAACCATCCTCCCCTCCAAAGAAATCATTTTCCCAGGAATCCTGGATTTCTGGCAAGGCCTGGGGATGGCTGCAGCCCTTCCAAGGTGCTGAGCCCTGTGCTAACCCCTCCTTTTTCCCTGCAGGTGCCTGTCCTGCGTGAACAGCGCCTTCCGATGCCACTGGTGCAAGTACCGGAACCTCTGCACGCACGACCCCACCACCTGCTCCTTCCAGGAGGGACGGATCAACGTCTCCGAGGTACCACGCTGGGATTCTTCCCTTTATCCCTTGCTTTTCCAGCATAACCCACGTTCCTGTGAGCTCTGCTGGCTTCCCCAGGGTGTCTCTGGAGTCAAAAAGGGGCAGAAGCAGCTTCAAACAGGGAGGTGCTGGTGTCACTGCAGTGCTGCTCCTGACCTGAGCACCAGAGCTGACCCCTCCCCGTCTGTGTGGGAATGCCCGGGTTCATTAATTGCAATAATTAATTAGTGCTTTCCCCCAGGGGTGCCAGAGGCTCCTCAAAGCCAGCACCTCTGCCCGCAGCCCCGGCACGCAGCGTTGCCTTTGTCCGAGGCCAGCCTGGGGCTGCTCCGTGCCTTGTGCTGCCAGGGCTGGGATTTACAGCAGGACCTGCCCGTGGGCTGATGGAGGGGGGAATTTCCAAAGTGCACAGCCTCGGATTTTGGAAGAGGGAGCTGGTTTGGGTTCCAGCGCCCTGGACCCGGAGCCATCTCTCTTAGCAGTTCATAAAAGGTGTGGGGCTCCAATCCAAAAATGCTTTTAACACTTGGAAAGGCACAGCCTGTGAGTGGCTCTGCCAGCCCTCCTGTGTGTCCCAGGGCACAGGGATCCGTGGAGGAAAGGGGTTTGTTAGCACAAATTCCTGGCTGAGCATTGCCAGGAACCCTTGGGCTGGGGTTTGTGCACTCCTTGTCCTGCCCGATGCCCCTGCCTGAAATGAGTGCAGGTCCTAAGGGAAAAATGGTTTCAAAGATGCTCTGGAAATCCTGAGAGTCCTGGGAAGTGGGAAAGGCAGCAGTGAGGACATCTGCAAATGTGAGGGAAGGAAAGGAGAGGAAGGTGTGCCAGTGTCCAGACAAATCCCTGTCAGTGAGTGATGGCGATGGAGGAGGACAGAAGAGATCAGTCGGTGGTGTCAACACTGAGCTGTCAAAAAGAAGTGATTGAAGGTTCTGCCAGGCTGCTGCTGAGCTAGGACTAAACTCTACTCTTGTGTCTCCCTGGCTAAAATGCTGCAGGAGGTTCAGAGGTAGAGGGGAGAGTGATTTATGAGCTGCATGTGTGAGGACCTGGGTGGGAATCTGCAAATGCAAGGATGAGCAGCGTGCCTGGGATGGGAGCGGGATGGGAAGGAGAAGCATCCACCCCAGGAACAAGCCAAAGGCTTCCTCCATCCAGTTCAAAGTCAAGAAACTTCCTTTCACCTTATCAAGAGAAAGCAAAACCCTTTTCTTCTCCTCTTGAGTGATGGAGGGGTTTTCCTTCACACTCAAAGCATCCCTGTCCCTCCAGGCTGCTCTCTGTTCTCAGGGTCTCTAACCCCAGGATCTCAGAAGTGCCTGACAAGTGCCTGCTAAAGGACAATCCCATTATCTCTGTTTTCCTCCTGGGAACACCCAGGACTCCCCTGAGATCTCACAGAGGGAGAGAGAGGAGGAGTTGGTATCCCTGGAAGTTCCTGCTGGGATCACAGGGATGCTGTGTCTCCAAAGAGCTTCCTCTGTCATCTTCATCTTGCAGAGGTTGTTTCTTACCAGGTTTTGGGATCTCTCACACCTTCCTGGTGATTGCTTTTGATAAGGGCTGATGATAACGATACAATTTCTCTGCTGCCCATCATTCCTTCCCCAGACCTTTGAGCACAGGCAAAACCACCCCAAAGAAATGTGTTTGCTTACTTCAGAGCAATGAATTTCCTCTTCACACACAGCCTGGTGATAATGCCTTTGCTATGGGCTCTTCACCAACACAGAAATAAGTAAATGCCTCATGAAGAGTTTCCTCTCCTAAACCAATTCAGATCACAATGTTCTCATTGTGTCACGGCCTGATGTATTAGGAAATTGTTTGTGCTTAGCCTGGCTCCCTCCCCAGCAGAGCCAGTGGTGTTTGGAGCTGGTGATCTCCGTGTCTGTGCCCTACTTTCGGTCCCCTGTGCCTCTCCTTACGTAAGGTTTACACACGTGTTCACACGGGCCTGCAAACTTGCTCGCATCTTTATATTTAATTTAAGGGAAAAATATCTTGAATATTCCCTTTTACTCCTGGCCCATCAGAATTGGCGTCCCCGTGGGATTGGATGTGTAATGAGCTCCCTTTGATGCTCCCAGGAGTTGTCTGTCTGGAGGAGGAACAGGAGCTCAAAGCCTCAGCCACTTCAGGGGGAGATGGGGAGAGAAATTCCCTCCTGCTGAGCAGTGCTCTCGCTCCTTGCAGGCTCCTGCCCCTCCTGCCCGAGCTGAGCTCTGCCCTTTGGCCCTGCCTTCCATGGAAATCAACCCAGAGAGCTTTCCTCATCCACCTGCCCTGCTCAGATCCAAGGGCAGAGCTCAGGGGAGAGCTCTGGGCTGCAGAGGAAGCCCCAAAGGCAGGTGGGTGCTTTAGGAAAAGTGAAAATGCAAAGGACATGGTTTGGGGTCCCTGGGAAATGGACACAGAGCCTTTCACAGCCTTGGCAGCACAGGGATCCTGCAGGACAGAGCTGCTTCTGATATCCTCCCTCTCACGGGAATTTCTGAGATGGGGGAGCTCCTCTGAGCTCTCCATTTCCAGGTAGCCAATTCTTTAGGAGTTAATAATTAGAGGAGCAACCCTTTTCCCATCCTTTTCCTGGTCAGAGTTTCCACTGCCAGCAGAAGGTGCCTGCTCAGAACTTGCTCCCACTAAATCAGGATTTCTCCAAGAGGTTCTCGTGGGTGTGGAGCACCGATTGTCCCACTTTACAAAACTCCAGATCAAGGCACTGATACCGTTTTAATGTGTCTGATGTGGTTTGCTTTGTGTGTGCGTGAGGTTTTGTGATGCCTCTCTCTAAATATCTCAAACTTCTGGATGAGGAGGACTGTGGATGCATAAACATCCTTACACCCCATCCCAGAGGAGAGCTGGAACCAAATAAATCCTCTTAGCTGCCCAGAATGTGGGAGCCCGTCCCTCTTTGATGTCGGGTGTGTGCTGATAATGCCATTTCCACAGGAGGGGCGCTGCTTTGGGGACAGAGGGTTTCAGAGGGGGGATTTCAGTGCCCTTGCCACTCCTTTCAATTCCCATTTATTTTATGGCAAGGCCCTCGCCCCAGGCTGTGCCCTCGGCTGCTGAGCGCTGCTTGAAGGAAACAAAGCAACAGCAGCCCATCCTCATGCCTGTCCTGACAATCCCCATCCCAGATGTGCGGGAGGTGACTCAGAGCCCATCTCAGGCCACCAAAATCAGCCAATGCAGGGTCACACCTGACTTTGGGGAGACCCCTTGGCCTCAAATAGGGACAGAAAGCCCGGTTTCAGCAAAACTCCCTCAGCTGCGAGCTGTGGAGGTGCTTTTTCCATCCGTGGAGTGGATGTTTGGTGCTGGATGGATGGAGCCAGGCGGGAAGGGCTGCAGGGAGCAGAGGGAGATGTTCCTGCTGTGACCTGTCCCTGTGCCCGGGAATTGCTGCCATCCTCACCTCTGGCACACCGAGGGTTGTTCACAGCAGGGAAAGATGCTCTCCACGCCTGTAAATATCCCCCTGCCTCCCAAACTGATGGACCCAGGTCCCAACACGTGCCCATGGCGTGGGGAAGGAATTCACCAGGCTGGGCTCCAGCTGCCTTCCTTTCATGCCTGGTTTCTAAGGAACAGGGGCTGCTCTCCTTTCCAGTGGCATAAATGAAGGATAATGTGTTTCCCTGAGTGACAGGGACTGTAATTTATATCATTGGGAACACAACTGTGAACCAGGGGTTTACATTCACGTGCCAGATCGGGTTATGTTTATAACTTTAAAATAACGCGTAGCGAGTTAACGTTTGGGGAGAGTTTGCGGGGGCTTTTTGAAGATGAAAAGTACAAAACCAGTCTATTTTCTGCCATTTGGGCTAAATCCCGTAGTCAGAAGAATTGCCTGCCATTTGTAGGCAATTTTTTTTTTCCAAATAAGAGCAAGGAGGTTTGACCTACTAAAACTGCTCGGTTAAACACAAATAATAACCATGGGTGCTCTGTTCTGCTCCAGAGACAGCTGCAGAACGCGGGTCTTTAAGGTATTTATAGACCTTGGAGTCTTTGAGGCTAAAAAGTGTTGGAGAAGCATAAAATGTCTTTGTAAATTGTGTGTGCTGATACTTCACAGGCGGAATATTCCCCGAGAGTCTGTGGCACTCCGGCATCGGAGCCTTGTCTTCCTCCAGCAGATCTGATCCGTGTTTATTCTGGTGCAGGGAAGTCAAGGAGGATAATGAGAGGATTCTGCGTGTTTGTTTAGCGAGAAGAGGCGATAATGGCCTTTCTAACTCGCTGCAGGATTTACCTCTCATGAATTAAAAAACAAAGTAAACTGATTATGGAACAGGTTGTGTGTTCCACCGCCTTTTATTCGGGGTTTTCTGGGTGTTTCTCGCTCGTGCTGGGCAGGAAAGGCAGGATGGGGCACCCAGGTCTGGAGGAGAGGGGACAGGAGGGACCTTGGATGCTGCCAAGCCCATCCCAGCTCAGTGGGAAATTCCTGTAAAGGGAATCAGCATCCCCAGAGGCGCTGCTCCAGCTGATGATAAACCCCCAACAAAATGATTTATCTGAGCACCGGATTTTCTGAGCACCAGGGAGCAGCTGGGAGAGGCGGTGGAGGGACAAACCACCCTGGCAGGCTGTGCTCCTGCAGCAGCACCCCCGGGAGAGCCAGAACCCCACTCAGGGGCTGGGGGTGCAGGGATTTGGGGGTGCAGGAACATGGATTTAGGGTGCACAGAGGTGGCTGTGCAGGGATTTGGGTGCAGGGACATGGCTGTGCAGGGATTTGGGTGCAGGGACATGGGTTTTCAGGGATTTGGGGTGCAGGGACATGTCTGTGCAGGGATTTGGGGTGCAGGGACATGGGTTTTCAGGGATTTGGGGTGCAGGGACATGTCTGTGCAGGGATTTGGGTGCAGGAACTTGGGTTTGCAGGAATTTGGGTGCAGGGACATGTCTGTGCAGGGATTTGGGTGCAGGGACATGGCTGTGCAGGGATTTGGGGTGCAGGGACATGGGTTTAGGGTGCACGGAGCTGTCTGTGCAGGGATTTGGGGTGCAGGGACATGGATTTTCAGGGATTTGGGGTGCAGGGACATGTCTGTGCAGGGATTTGGGTGCAGGGACATGTCTGTGCAGGGATTTGGGTGCAGGGACATGGGTTTTCAGGGATTTGGGTGCAGGAACATGGGTTTTCAGGGATTTGGGGTGCAGGGTTGTGGGTGCACATCACTGCAGCAGCAATTTCAGAAACAAACTGGAAAAGGAAAAGCCCTGGAAACTGAGCACCGAGGTTGGAAATGGCTCACAGGGCCTCCACAGGGCATGCAGGGTCTGAGCTGACCCCAACCCTCCCCAGCCCCTCAGCTCCACTGGCTCAGCTGAGAAATCCATCAGTGACTGCCTGCAGCAGTGAGGCTCCCCACCAGCATCCTGAGTTTTCCAGAGTCTGGCATCTTCCTATGGATGTCTCCATCCCAAAATGTGGTTCCCTTATTAGTGTGATCACTGCAGCTGTCAGCCAGCACCGAGGGGCTGCCTCGCTTCTGCCCAGGCTGTGCCTGCCTTGCTCGCCCCACGATCCCAATGTGACATTTTCCTTCCACTGGAACCAAAGGAATGAACAACAACAACAACAACAAAAAAATTAAATTTATTTTGCCCCACTCGTCTCTAATGATGGCAGAACAATTTTTGCTGGCAGCATTTTCAGCACCAGAGAGCAGATCTGGGAATGGGATGTCTGGGAAGGCAGGAGCCTTTCTTTAGCAGTCGCCTCACGAACGGAGCTGGCCGGGAAGGATAATGGTCCATAACATATTCATTATTTTCAGGACTGTGCGCTGAACTTCTCCCACTGGTGATGCAAGTGGAGATTTTTTTTGTTTTCAGTCATAATGGGGTGAAGGATTCAGGCTCCAGGTTGCTTTTCCTTCCACGGGATTTCACGGGCTGGAGCGGAGCCTCTCGTCCCCTGTTGGATGTGACTTTGAGGTGAAATGCAAAACCTCAACCACAGGCAGGTGTTGAGTGGAAGGTGCCACAGGCGTGTGGTGCTTCAGAGAGCGAGGAATGGGCAGAGGCAGCTTGGAAGAGCTGGATGGAAAACGCTGTGAGCCCAGGGAATTTGCTGGTGGTGAGCTGGGGCTGGATCCACGGTCCCAGGGTCAGTGGGAAGCAGGGAATGCCGTTCCCTTCCAGCCTGTGCACCCACTCCACTGCAGGAAAGGGCTTCCCTTCCCTCCCCAGCACAGCTGATGGAGTTTGAAATCATTCCTGGCTGTTAATCCGTGAAAGTCCCTGTTAGAAATAAAATAAAATAAAATATATATACGGAAAAGTGCCACTAAAAGGTTTATGAGGCTGCAGTTTCAGTTAGCGGCTCCTCCGGACCGGAGCAGCATCTGTTTCTCATTTACAGCTCCTTGAGCCGCTGTGAAACAGCTTCCCATGGCCTGGAGGGGATCCTGCCTTGGGGAGGGGGCATTTCCCCCTGGATCCCAGCGGGATCCTGGCCAGGATGTCCTGGCATTGCCATCAGCAGCATTTCCTTTCATCCCCAGGCTGGGGGACAGAGGGATGCCAGTCTGGGATTTGGCAGAGGGAACGTGTTTGTTCTAAATTCCTGCTTTAGCTTGGGATTAATCATTCAGTGTCAGGTGCTTACAGGTACTCAGGTACCTCGTTCCATTAGATCAAAGCAAATTAGAGCTGAGCAGAATGCAAATACAGCTGATGGTCAGAGCCTTTGTCTCGGTGTTTTGCAGTTCCTGGTGTGAAAATTGAAGAAAAATTGTATTTCCCAGTGTGGTGTGCAGAGATAACGTTTGGGAAGTCGAGATCTCACGGGGGAGATGTCACACAGTTTCCAGGAGCTGATAAGTCATTTTTTTGTGGTCCACCTCAGGGTTTCATTTAGACATTCTGTTTGTGCTTGGGTGAACTGGAGATCTGCTCCTCTGTGCAATGGTGTCTCACAGAGTCACAGATGGTTTGGATGGGAAGGGATCCTAAAAACCATCTCATTCCACCCCCTGCTGTGGGCAAGGGACTATCCCAGACTGCTCCAACCTGGCCTTGGACACTTCCAGGGATGAGTTTTAAGGTCCCTTCCCACCCAAACCATTCTGTGATTTGGAGATAGAAGGAGCAGTTCAGGTCGGATGCTTTGCCCACCCAGCTGGCAGAGGCACGAATCCCACCCAGGAAAGCACTGCCAGCCCCAGCACAGGAGCTGGGTGGGCGGTTCAGGAAGGCAGAGGTGGTGGAGCATGGAGAGGAGCAGGAGCAGATAGAGCAGAATTTAATGTCACCTCAGAAATTAAAGGCACCTTGGCCTAATTTTACTGGGGTAAAGCAGAGCGGAACGGTGCCTGGTGGTGAGAGGGAAGCACATCCTGGGCTGATCCATCTCACTGCGCTGCACGAGGGGTCTGAGGGGTGAAATGGGATTAGGAGAAGCCCCTGTGGCTGGGAACAGCCCATCCCCTTCCAGAGCAGGGGGCTCAGCAGGGCTGGAGCAGCTGATAAGGGGCTGAGCTCCTCAGCAGGGTACAGCAGGAGCTGCTGGCCTCACAGATAAAACCTGTGGGAAGCTCAGAGCGGGGAGGACACCTTGGATTTATCCCCAGAGAGGCTGTTCCTCCTTGAGCAGCTGCAGGGAGGAAATCGCTGCCAGCCCCAGGGGGCACGGGGGGCACGGGGGGCTCTGTGTCCTGCGCTTCTCCTGCAGCTGGAATGGGCACTGCAGATGTGCTGGGACATCAGCCCAGACCTGCCACTCCTGCAGCTCCACTGATGCCTCCTTGGGCTCCCAAAAAACTCAGGCCAGACAGAATGAAGGGAATTAAAAGCAGATCTATTTATTGAAGGGCTCCCAGGTACATTTGGGCAGACAAATTCCCTCTCGGGGGCTGCACCCAGAAATGGACCACGGGTTTTCACGCTGTTATAAGTTTGGGCCATTTGGATGTTGGGGGTTAATCTTAATTACAGCTTCAGGTGATGAAGGAATTTACCCCAATTTGCTGTTCCAAACTGTTTACATTTCTCAGGCCTGAGGCAGTGAGGTGTCCTTGATTCCCAGGCCTGCAGAGGAATTGTTGTGTGTGCCCAAAATGGGAAAGCGGCAGCTGACACTGCACGTGGAGTTTGGAGTTACACACCAAAGAACTGCGGGGCTACAAACACACGGAAAAGATCCAAGCTGACATCCGAAGGCATCACCACCACACCCCACCCATAACCTCCCCCCTTCTCTCCCTGCCTCCCAGGACTGCCCCCAGCTCTTCCCCACGGAGGAGATCCTGATCCCGGTGGGAGAAGTGAAGCCCATCACGCTGAAGGCCAGGAACCTCCCGCAGCCCCAGTCGGGCCAGAGGGGCTACGAGTGCGTGCTCAGCATCCAGGGCATCATCCACAGGGTGCCCGCCCTGCGCTTCAACAGCTCCAGCGTGCAGTGCCAGAACAGCTCGGTGAGAGCGGGGACGGAAAGGGGCTGCCAGCCCCAAACCGCTGCAGGGAGGGTGGAAAATCCCTAATCCCGAACCCCAGGTGGGAAAACACCCGTGAGGGGCTCAGAGGTGGGGAGGAGATGCCCTGGCTGCTGGTGAGGGGTCAGGGGAAGGAGAGGAGGAGGAGGGAATTCGGGAGGTAAGGCAGGCTAATTCACACGCGGGGAGATAAGGAGAATCACAGAGCCCTTATCAGGGAGCTGTCAAATCCCAGGTCACGGTGGCTGGATGAATAGAGCAGGGAAGGAGGGGGAAAGGGAAACTGCTGGGGGAGAGGGGAATCACCGGCAGGGAGAGGGGAAACACCCGAGCGATGCTGCCGAGGAGCAGGGCAGGATAATCCCCCTCCCCAGGACAGGGCTCAGCCTCGCCATGGGCACCCCAAAGTCACCCTGGTGGGTACCAAATGGCAAATGCCAGCCCCTCCACCCTGACCCACAGCCAAATTTGTGTCTCCTGCGTCCCTTCACAGCTGGGGGACCAGCAGGGACAAGCGAGGCCCTTCCTCTGCTCACCATGTGCTTGGAAAGGGCCCTGGGCAAACAGGGCACAGCCAGGTTGTTTTCGGCAGCAGAACAGGGTCCACTTGAATATTCAGTGCAGATGGTCTTAAATTGTTAATGAAGTTTTGAATTTTTAAAAGTTTTACTGGGTATTTATACATCACTGGCCGTCTTTGGGCCTCGCAGCTTGGTGGATAATAAATGTATTAATAGTCTATAGTACTTTTCCTACCCAGAGTGATTTATAAGCATTAGAGAAGAACTTTTATTGCTGTTGGGCTGATAGGGAGTGGTAGGGGGAGGATGTCAGGGCCATTCTGGACTCACAGCTTCTTGTTCCACACCAGCTGAACAAAACACAGGCAGGGTGAACCAGTACAGTCAAACGTGAGTTCAAAGTGCACAACTCCAGGGACAGGCAGAGCAGCCTGCCCTGCTTTAATCACCATTCCCTCATCCCAGAGAGGATGGCAATGCTCACTCACCTTTTGAACTCTTTTTAGCAGCTCTTGGCTGACCTAAAGAGAGCACCAGAGCAAGGCCTGGACAATGCTGGGTGTGGGAATGGGAATTTCAGCATCCACTGGGAATTCAGCTGGAGCATCCAGCCTCACTCAGCCACAGCCCCAGGATGTCCATAAGAAGGGGAATAATTCCAGCCAGGCTTGGATCCTGGAGCAGGCTGAAACAGTGGCAGGGGCTCTGCACCATCTATTTTTGCTCAGCTGTTTCCTGTTCCACCTGCAGTGGGATTTTGGAGCTCCCAGTCCCCCTGGGGGGCACAAACTGGGCAAGAAGCAGCCTGAAGGCAGCAGTCCCAGTCTGGTTAACTGGAGGGGCTGTGTTGGTAAGCCAGAGACTGAGTGACGAGAGCAACCACTGTGAGTGGAGTAATTAATCTGTTACCTCTCACAAGGACTAGATCTGATTTAATTATCTCTTCCTGGTGAGGAGAAGGGACTCAAAGCAGAACCCTGGAGATGAAGTGTAAAAATGTGGTGTCTCAGGCACCAGCAGATGTTTTTAAGCAGAGAATGAAGATGGTTTCTCTCAAAGAACCCTCTTTGTCTGTGAGGGTTGTCTCCCCAAGCATTTCATTCTGGATCTCACCCCGCAGTACCTCTATGATGGGATGGACATCAGCAACTTGGCAGTGGACTTTGCCGTGGTTTGGAATGGGAACTTCGTCATTGACAACCCAGAGAATCTGAAAGGTAAAATCTGCTTGAGTTGGCTTCAGCTCATGGGTGGTGGGGGGCTGGAGAGGGGGGCAGGGATGGTGTGAGCCCTGAGGACCAGCTTGAGGAGGAGAGCAGCTCCCTGCAGTGTTGGTGCTGCTCTCTGAGCCTTGGTTTAGGAATCCACCTGTGCAGGGGCACCTGCGGCTTGGGGAGCTGTGCAATCCCAACTGTGTCCTGAGGGAATCCCTCAATCCCAACTGTGTCCTGAGGGAATCCCTCAATCCCAACTGTGTCCTGAGGGAATCCCCCAATCCCACCTGTGTCCTGAGGGAATTCCCCAATCCCAGTTTTACCCCAAGGGATCCCCAATCCCAGTTTTACCCCAAGGGGATCCCCAATCCCAGTTTTACCCCAAGGGATCCCTGACGCCGGCTGTGCCCCGCGGGAGCGCGGCCGTGTCCGAGCCCGTGCTGTGCCCTCTCCCTGCAGTGCACCTGTACAAGTGCGCGGCGCAGCGCGAGAGCTGCGGGCTGTGCCTCAAGGCCGACCCCAAGTTCGAGTGTGGCTGGTGNTGGCTCGACTGGTCCAGCCACAACGTCAAGTGCTCCAACCCGCGCATCACCGAGGTGAGCCCTGCTCCTCCCTGCGCCCCAAAACCCTCCCAGCCCCGAGAAACGGGGACAAAACTCTCCGGCTGTTCCCGGGAACGCGCTGGCACGTGGCCAGGTGTGCGGCCGCTGCCCCACGGGCGGCTGGCGCTCGCCCGCCCTGCCACCCGCGCAGGGTGACAGCGGGAACGCTAATTAAACAGGGAGCTCATTAGTGTGGAGCTGGTGTTGCTGATATTTCTGTTCAGCCCGCTGAGGGATGCAGAACGTGTCCCAGGAGCGTTTTCACCGGTGGAACTGCGCTCGCTCTGTTAGCGCTGCTATGAGGAGTGACGCTCCCGCCAGGTGGGAGCAGAGGAAGGTTTGGGTTTGTCTGTTCATTAAATCCCCAAAAAGCCTCCCTTCCCTGGGCGTGTACAACACAGGAGGATCAGAGCTGGCTGTTACACCAGTGCTGGTGCCAGAGCTGCTCAGCACCCAAAATCTGCCAGCTGAACCCAAGTGAGTGTGGAAGTCTCCTCTTAAATTAAATTAGTTCCTACACGGGTTTAACTAAACTGGCTCAGCTCCCGTGGGAGGGAGGCATCAACCTCCTTTCATGGAGAGGAGGAAGCACCGAGGCTGCTGCTGCTGCCTCGGGGCAGGCTGGGGCTGACAGGAGAACGATGTTGCTGAGGAGGGTCCATCCATCCTCAGGAACGATAACACCAGGGATGTTTAGGTACTCCTGCCTTAGGCCTTTAGCCCAGCAGTGCTACACCTTTGCTGGACAGGTGTTTCTCTCGTGTAGGTGTTTCTCTCGTGTAGGTGTCTCTCTCGTACAGGTGTTTCTCTTTCTCTCGTGCAGGTGTTTGTTTCTCTCGTGCAGTGTTTTGTACAGGGCAGAGCGGAGCTGGTGGGAGGTGCTGGGGCTGGTTGTGCAGGGATGGGAAAGCATTAAAAAGGCTTAGAAACCTGTCCTTTTCCTGCTCAGTTTCTTTCCAAGTCCCAGCTGCCCTACCAGGAGATAAAATGATCCTTAAAGGCTTCCCTGGATATTCCCCTTGCCCTGCCATTGGGCAGAACTCAAACTTTCCTTGCCCAAGTTCTGTTCTGCTGCACAAGGTTATGCTACAAGAAACAAAACAGCCTCCACTGAGATTTGCTTCCCCATAAACCATGCAGAAAATTGTCAAGCCAAAGAAATCTTGGAATTATTTATCTGCCCCTCCTTGAGCTGGGCAGAGAAGGGGAAAAACACTGAGCTCCAGCCACCAAGTGACTGCATGTGAGCAGTGCCAGGCTGGCTCCGGCAGCTGGCTGCAGGCAGGGCACTGCCACCAAGTGTTTTATCACTGTCCAACTTGAAAGCAATACTTTTGGGCTCTGTCCAAGGAGAAAAGAGCAGAGCTCTGCTGTTACAGATTTCTTGACTCCATCCCCAGGTCTGTGTCTCAGCCCTCAGAGTGAGGCTGTGGAGGAGACCATGAGACTTTCACAGGTTTTTGTTGCTGTTGGGTCCTTTCCCAACTTTGGGGTTTTCTCAGGGTTTTGGGTTCCGTTTTGCAATGCCCAGTGCTGCAGAGCTGTACAGCTGGGAGGACACCCTGCCCTGCTGGCACTGACCTGGCCCTGGCAGGTCCAGAGCTGGCACTGGTGGCACGACCCCCATCCCCTGGGCGCCAGCAGTGACAGGACTGGGGAGCAGGGTTTGCTCTCATACTGCAGCTCACACTGCAGCCTCAATTACCCAGAGTAAAAAAGCCTTTCATAAGGGCTGGTTTCCACTCCTCCTGCTTCATCTGGCCAGGTTCATTCTTTGTGACCAGCCTGGGGTCACGGGCCTGGCTCCCAGGCGCCAGTGCCTTCGGGGGATGCATAAATAAGAAGAGATTGTGTCTTAATAGTTCTAAAAGTAAATGAGCAGTGGGGTATTTGCAGTGCTTTCACTGCGTGAGAGGCCCAGCCCTCCTCAGCAATGTCCCTTCAGCAGCTGAAAACTTCCAGCCGGTCTGTGGCCTTAGCAATAAATAAATAAAAATCAGTTTTCTGGCGAGCAAGCGGCGCTCTGATCTCCTATTCATTTATTTGCAGGGCTCATTAATATAACATCAGTGCAACAAACAGCTGAAGGGGGGGCAGTGTCAGGCTGAATAATGGAGTCGCTCTGCTGAGATAACAATTAGGTTCTGAATGTGCCATCAGCTGAGGCAGGGACAAGGAGGGCTCATGCCGGGATGACAATGCTCATGTGCCGCTTCCCCGCTGGGCTCATCAGCTGGGATCCAGAGCTCAGGGCAGGAGAGGAAAAGCACAAAGATGAAGCTGGATGGGGTCTGGGGAGGGGGCAGGGGCTGTGCCATTGATTGGGTGCTCTCTCTGCACCCCAACAGATGCCAAGGGTCGCTGTGCAGGGCTTGTGGCTTCCCCCCAGCTCCCAGCAGCTCCCAGCCAGCCCCGGCTCCAGCTCTCCCCAGCTCCTCTCTGGCTTCTCCTGCAGGCAAAATGTTGCTTCATGTCAGAAAGGCTGGAAGATTCGAGCAGAGAGACGTGACACTGAGAGCATTGATCCCTCATTGCTGGAGCCGTGTCTTCTGCCACTGGGCTGGGGCTCCTGGATCCCTGGGATCCTTGGATTCCAGGCTCAGGGATCCTTGGATTCCAGGCTCAGGGATCCCTTGGATTCCAGGCTCAGGGATCCTTGGATTCCAGGCTCAGGGATCCCTTGGATTCCAGACTCAGGGATCCCTTGGATTCCAGACTCAGGGATCCTTCCAGCCTTGGGGGTCCCCAGCTTGGTTTCAAGTAAAAAGCAGCAACAAGAGAAGTGCTCTGGAGCATCTGCAGCCCTTCCCTGACCAAGGACAGGGTGTGAGGGTGACCACCCCCCTCATCCCTGTGCCCAACCCGTTTATGAATGGTGCTGCACACCTGACTCATCCTCCCAGCACTGTTACGGTGCTGGATTGGGATTTGTCCCATGCAGTGGGCAGAGGTGACCTGCTCAGAGTAATTCTGCCTCCCACACCCTGCCCAGATCTCAGTGACTTTCAAGCTGCTTCGGTTTAGCAAACAACCTGAAAAAACTTCAGCAGAGGTGCAGATTCCTAAACAGCAAATGTGCAATTCCTGGTTATGGCCTGGCTCTTTCTCAGCTGCCCTTTGCAGGTCCTTTCATCCTCCACAGAGCTCTAAGTGAAAAGCCAGTCTAGTGAAGTGATTTGCTTGAAATTGGGGAATATTTCTTGCTAATCCTGTCTGTCTCAGATGAGAAATCTGGACTGGCAGCCCTGCAGCCTGGGCAGCTCCCAGCACAGCCCAGCTGGGATTAAGGCAGACCACGGGCTGGCTGTGCTGGAGGTGCCTCATCCTCACCCAGCCAGAAGCCCAGGGATGCTGCTCCGAGGGTCCCCAGCTCTGAGTGCACCGGGACCTTTAAGACTTATCTTCTTTCTGCGATTTTGACTGAATCTCTCCAGCTGTAATTAATTGAATGCATCTGTTCTAACCCTGGGGCTGCTTTATGGCACAGTTACTTCAAAACTGTTCAATTAGTGGCCACTAAAATCTAGGTCGAGTGGAGCTCCATATTGGGGATTTTCCAGGTCAGGACATTTTTAAAATACAGCATCAGCTCGGCTTTGTTCGGGGAGGCCGCTCGGCCCCGCTGCTTCTGCTCAGGTCAGGAAATGGCAAACGGTGACTCCTTTTTTTTGAGCAGTGATGAGACAATGAGCCCAGCGGGGTAAGTGCTCCAGTAAATGCATTTTAACATCCTCCAGAGCTGAGAAGGACAGTTGTAACTGTCAGCCGAGTTCAGGTGATTCCCAAGCAGTGATGTAAACACTACCAGGCCTCCAGGACTCGGTGTAACACAATCCAGCTCAGAGCTAAATGGTACAAGACAGGCCATGGTGTGAGTTACAGGGAACAGCAGCACGACAGGCAGTGCGTGGTGAATAAATTAAAAACCTCCGTCAGGCGGTGGAGGGGAGAGGAAGGTGGAAATTAAAGGATGTGGAGGAAGGAGGGGGTGGCTCGGTGGCTCTGGAGGGTGCGTGGAATTGGAATAACCTCAGCATGTGAGGCCAAAAATGGGACAGAATGCCCAGGGAAGTGATGGAGGTGGAACAGGCAGCCTAAGGAAGTGCTGGAGTCACCCTGGCAGAGCTCAAAATCCAAGTGGACGTGGCCATGGGTTTAGTGGGGATGGTGGGATTCCATCTTGAAGATCCTGGGTGTCTTTTTGGAGATGCTTTGGGGAACTGGGGACCACAGGAGTGATGGGGACAGGAATGGCAGGTCATGGGGATGTGGTGTGCTGGTGGCACTGGTGTTTGGCCGCTTTCTTCACCCCTGGGAAGGTGGAAAAAACCAACCATCCCTCTGGAGACAGCAAGGAAAAGGTTCTGAGGAGCTCAAGTTTTTTTGCCAAAGACAAGGGTGGAACAAAGAAGCGTAAACAAGATTTATCCATTAAATTAATTAAATTGCGTTATTATGGATTGTGTTTATTTATTAATAACAGCTGCAGCATGGGGAAGATTAGAAACTCACCCAAGAGCAACAACAGAGCGGTGGCAGATTCAGGATAGCTGTCTGAGAGTCTTGGGTCCAAATTTTGTGACCATGCATTATTGAAATTTATACTCCTAATTGAAGAGGAGATTGTCCTTAATGCAAGTCCAGGGAAGCAGGGATGATTATGGCTGAGGCAGGCTATAAACAGGCAGCTTGAAAGCACATACCTCACCCTTTAACATTTTTAAGTCATTTGAGGTGCCAAGTCACTAATAAAATGTGACATTAACATTCAGAGAACAGCCAAGGCAGAAGGTAAAGTTCTCCCAAGCACCAGGCTGCTTCTGGAAGGTGACTTACCCTGTTCTGGATAGGGAAGAGAGGAGCCAGGTTTATCCTTCTGCATGGATTTCTGGGGAATGGCACTGCCCACTCTTCTTGGCCAGCTCAGGGACCTTGGAGTCCTCCCTTGGAGCACAGCACAGATGGATTTCAGCGTCCCTGGGCTCCTCCAGGACATCCAGGAGAGCCATGAGAGGGTGACCCTGGCTGGTTTGGCAGCAGGAGCAGGAGGAGGCTGCAGCACTCCCAGCACAAGTGTTTCCAAGGCAGGGGCTGAAGAAGGAGCGTGGTGGGGATGTCCCCTCACCTTCCCCATGTTCTGTCTCCCTGCAGATCCTGACGGTGTCGGGGCCCCCGGAAGGAGGGACGAGGGTGACCATCCGTGGTGTGAACCTGGGCCTGGACTTCTCGGAGATCGCGCAGGGGGTGCAGGTGGCCGGGGTGCAGTGCACGCCCCTGCCCGAGCACTACGTCGTGGCTGAGCAGTGAGTGTCCCCTCAGCCATCCCCACCACATGTCCCCGGGGCTGGGCACCCCACAGGGCTCCTCCCTGACCTCCAGCCAGCACTCAGGAGACCAAAACCTCACCCAGAGCCCCGGCCCCTGCAGGAAGGGCTGTGGAGGTGGCTGTGGGAAGGGATTCCTGCACATTCCTGCACATTCCTGCACATTCCTGCACATCCCCGCACTCTGGACTCTCTCTGCAGGGGTTAAACAGCCCTTTAAGCTTTCATTAAATGTTCTGTTTCCTTCCACACCGCGGTTCCTGCTTGGCTAAGCACCTTTGCTGATGAGCACCTTGCTGCCGCTCCACGCTCCCCATCCCACTTGGAATTCCGCCGGCGCCGCCAGCTGCGCGCAGCCATTTGTTAGGGGTGACAGCCCCGTAATCCGAGCGGGGCTCCACTGGAGTCAATTCATTTGTTTCACTAAGAAAAATGTCAGCCAAAAATTAGAAAACAGGCCTGTACCAGGGGCTGGGTGAAGGAACCCCACAGCGTGACCCCGCTCCTCTCCTGCCCCCTGGGGCTGTGCCAGGGTGCTCAGAGGCTGCTGGGGGACGTTCGTGCAGGGTGGGACAGGAGAAAAGGTGATGTCTCCCCTTGGGTTGTGTCATCTGCTGGGGAAGAGGATGGTGAATGGTGTTGTGGGAACGGGATGTGGAGGTGGCCAAGATCCCATGGTGGGCCCAGCAGCACAGACCTGCCACAGCTGAGGGAGCAGCTGCAAGGAGCTGTCCTCTGCTGGGAGATGCATTTGGTGGCTCCCACTGAGACCCCAGAGCAGGGCAAGGACCTGCCACCAGCAGCACGTGGTGGTGTTTGTTGGGTTCTGTCCACTTCATGGTAGCATTGGTTGGGTTTTGTCCACTCATGGTGATGTTGGTTGGGTTCTGTCCACTCATGGTGATGTTGGTTGGGTTTTGTCCACTCATGGTGACGTTGGTTGGGTTTTGTCCACTCCATGGTGGCATTGGTTGGGTTCTGTCCACTCCATGGTAGCATTGGTTGGGTTCTGTCCACTCCATGGTGATGTTGGTTGGGTTTTGTCCACTCCATGGTGATGTTGGTTGGGTTTTGTCCACTCATGGTGTTTCTTTCCCCATGGGGAAGGCAGAAGGGGCATTGCTGACCCCTCTGGAGCAGCGAGGGTCAGTGCAGGGTGCCAGGGAATCTGGGATCTCAGGATGGACAGTGCCTGGGGCTGCTGCAGGAATGGCTCCAAGCATAGCACCGATCCCCATCACTGCGAGCAGTCGGGGCTGTTCTGCTGAGCAGTACTTTGTTATACTTTATTTTTCAAATAAAGGATGGAAGATTATGAAATTATCCCCCTTTGATGGTATGAAACCCTGATTTTATAATCATGACTCTAATTACGGCTCTTGAGCTTTCAAAGTTTGTTAACATCATTAAAACATTTACCCTGGGCAGATAACAGCAAGCGTTTGCATGAGAGCTGCCTTTTAAAGATGAATACAGATAAAAGGACCCTCTTAAGGCTTCTGTGGGCAGACTGAATTCCAAGACTGTAATGACTCTGCCATATGCTCCAGCCCCGCAATCTATCAGCCAGCAATTAGGTTAATGTTGGTGAAAGGGCCACTTAGCCCGGCAATCAGCACCCTACAGCTCTGCCGAATGCAGCGTTTTGTAACAAGGTACCTGCTGGGGATTTGGCTCGGATCAGGACTCGGACCAGGTGTACCCGGTCACTTGTGCCCTGTCCCGTGCCCGTCCCTGCCCGGGCTGTGCTGCAGCTGCTGCTCTGCTGGCAGAGATGAGAATTTGGTGTTTCCTTGGGGCAGAGAGAACCTCCCCTCTCTTCTCATGCCCGTGGAGTGCCTGGAGTCACTTCCCAGGCTTTGTTTGCCCTGGCCCCAAGCTCAGAGTGGCCTCCTCTCCCCGCTGCTGGTCAGGAGGAGGAGGAGGAGGAGGGATGAGGGAGAGGTGAAGGAATAACAGGCAGAGAGGCGCAGGGGCGATGTCTGGTTGAAAGGCAGAGCGAGGAGCACGTGGCAGAGGAAGGCTCAGAGCTGAGACGCTTCAATCCCTGCTCTCCAAAGGCAGCAGAGCTCTCCAGGCAGCCCCTTTTGATGTGCAGCAATGAGGATGAGCACGTTCCTCCCTTTACCAGCCTGTGTGTATTTCATCGGGCCTCCTGGCATCACCTGCGCACGCGAGCTGCAGCTTCTTTTTTCCTTCAGTCTTCGTGGTTTATTTTATTTTACTTTTTATTTGCGGTGAATTTAATGCTGCTGAAGGCAGCTGGAACGCTGCCTCCCCAAATTGGGGCCTTTTATGTCTTTTTGTGTGATAGGCAGAGGAGTGAGCGCTTCTCTCTTCAGCCTCAGCAGGCAGAAGCTGCTCTGGCTCCTCTCTGGTCCCACTCCCAGGGTCAGATCCACACAGGGATCTCCTCATGGGTGGAACTGCACCTCCAGCCTCAGGCAGGTTACTCCTACCTTCAGCTTTTCACCCCTCAGGCAAATTACCCCTCCTCAAGTCTCCAGTCCTGAGGCGAGTTATTCCCACTCTCACATTTCCAGTCTGGGGCAGGTTCCTCCCACCCTCAGCTTCCCAGTGCCGGCAGGGATGCTCTTGAATTTATCTGCTGTGAGAGCAGGCAGCATCCAGGTCCATCTGGAGAGCTCTGCCAGCTGATGCCCCTCTGAAAACCATCCCCAAACCTGCTGGCATGACTGGCATCCTCTGGATCCATCCCCAGCCGGTGCCACACATCCCCCGTGCCCTGGGATTTGGGGTTGTTCATCCGCAGTGATCAGTCAGGGTTAACCCCAGCAGCTCTCCCTGGCCCTGCAGCTTTCCCAGCCTTGGGGAGCTGAGCTGGACCATGCCAGGAGCCCAGGGCCACTCTCCACCAGCGTGTTTGTGGCAGGCAGCCCTGTCCCCCAGCAGAAGCTGCTCTCCAGGGCTGTCTCTATCATCTCCCAGCAGGTTTCTCCAGTTTTGATTAACTGGGAGTCTGCAGTGTGAGCTGTTCCCTTAATGAACTCATCTGTTACTCTGAGGACTTCGCACTCACTTTGCTACTGGCTAATATATTGCCATTAGTGCTCTGCTTTGCTCTGGAGTTTACAGCTTGTAATAATTATGTCTAATTTTGATTTTTTTTTTCCTTTAAATTACTACATGGGGTAAAAATAGACTCAGTAATTAACTTCTTCCAAAGAGGCAGATATCAAAGTTAAAGAGGTGGGGGCAGGGAAGGAGAAATAAAGGCAGCGTGGAGCTGTGCAGGGCACTGCTGGCACCTCCTGCCAAAGCTTCCCTGCGGCATTTCTGCTTCCAGGATCGTCTGTGAAATGGGGCAGGCGCTTCCAGGGATCAGCTCCGGCCCAGTGCTCCTGTGCATCGGAGAGTGCAAGCCCGAGTTCACGGCCAAGTCGGCGCAGCAGTACATGTTCGTGGTGAGTGTCCTGCTGGGGGACAGGCGTGTGTGCCCCGGGAGCTGAGCGTGCCACATGGAGGGGCTTCAGCTCCACAACACAATCCTAAAATTGCCTTTTTATTCCCTGGGGGTTTCTCCCTGGTGCTGCACAATTTTTGGTGGCGCAGCTTGCAGGATCAAGAGCTCACCCTGTGAATAACGGGGGCTCCTGGAGCATTTGGGTCCAGCTTTGCACCTCCAGAATAGAGATTATGGAACCAAAGATTGGTTTGGGTTGGGAGGGATCCTCAAAGACCCAGTCCCACCCCTGCCACGGGCAGGGACACCTTCCACTCTCCCAGGTTGCTCCAAGATGCATCCAGCCTGGCCTTGGCCACCCATGGATGTCCTCCTCCGCTGTCACAGGCACCCACAGCAGCTCCTGGCTGCAGCAGGAGCACTGAGTGTGTCCTTTCCTTCCTGCAGACTCCAGCTGTGAGTTTCCTGAGCCCCAGCCGTGGCCCGGAGTCGGGAGGGACCATGGTGACCATCTCTGGCCACTACCTCGGGGCGGGCAGCCGCGTGTCCGTGCTCCTGGGAAACCAGACCTGCGAATTCCACGGGTAAGAGACCAACACAGGCTCCTCCTGCTCCTGTCCCAGCATGGATCTGCTGGAGCTGAATGTGCAAAAATCCATCTGGGAGCCCCTAAGGCTCCCATTCCCTCTTTTATTGCATGAAACCCTCTTCTCTTTTATTGTGATGGAGGCTTGCATGGCAAGGGAGGGATTCATCGGTGTCAGTGCTGTTCGTTATTTCATTTTAATGCTGTTCCAACAGTTACTGCTCTGAAAATCACAGTGAAACACCACTGTGATGGAAATATGCTTATATTGGTCATCAGTTCCTGCCCCCAGCCTGGCTGCCCTGATGAAAATGGAACATTTATAAGAAATATCTCCTTTCTCTCCTCACAGACCTGCATTGCTTTTATTGCAGCCTCACTGTTGCAGGTGCCTCAATCTCCTAAAAACAGTCTGGGATGCTCAGGGGAGAGCAAGGCAAGGGTCTGCTCACACCTCCTTCTGAGGAACTTGCACAGCCATCAGTCTCTGCTGGGATTTCGATGGCAAATTTGCTTTTCCCCCAGCAGTGTAAACACAGAGTTGACATTTGCAGGGTTTAATGGGTTTCCCTGTGGCTTAGTTAAGAAAGAGACGTGTGGTTTACATCTGTGTGTATCAGTACACAGCCCTGCCCACCCTGCTGGCACTGGGCACAGCCTGGGTGGCACCCTGGATCCAAAGGGATTCTTTGGATCCCAGATCCTCACTCAGGCTGCCCAGGAGGAACTGAGGAAGTTTCTGGGAAAACAAAGATCCCTGGAGGTGAATTTCTCATCCAAAAGCCCGAGAGGTTCTTGGATGGGGGAGCTGTGGGCGTTCAGGTGTGGGAGCACACCGGGCTATCAGCGGTGCTTGTTCTGGATCCTGCCCAGGATGGTGCTCAGGACATTCCAGGACCTTCCAGGGCAGCTCCAGGTGGAAGCAGTGTAACCAACCCATCAATATTTCCTCCCACACCCAAAACAACAACACCAAATGGCTCCCTCGGAGACGGGAACAGCGTTACCACCAGCACAAGGGTAGGATCAGCCTGGAATATCATCCCTGAAAGAGCTGATCCAGGCATCCTGCAGCTGCTGACCTGCTTTGGGTTCCCTGGATGTTCCAGTTGCAGCAGGAAGCTCAGCAAGGCGAGAGCAGGGACTGAGCAGCCCCGTCCCTCACGTGGGGCCACGCCGTGCACTCGCTTTGCTGCGGACTCTTTTGAGGCAATGAACTCCAATTGTACTCCAGGGTGTGGGGGAGCCTGATGAGATGAAGCAGCTCCTAATGAGATTCCCTCTAATTACAGCTTCCCCCATTCTCCCCTCTCTGATCGGAGGAGTGGGTAGATTCACCATGACGACATAATAATAGCACAGAAAGCTAATTAGCTGATCACAGGGAGCCGGGAGCTGCTCTGCCAGCAGCCCTGCGTCACTCCCAGCTCGTGCCAGAGCTGGGCAGGCACGGCAGGGGCTGGGCTGGGCAGCAGCAGGGCAGGGAGGGTGGCAGCAGGGCTGGAAGCTCGTCAGGCTGCACAGAATCATCCTGAGATCAGCACAGGGGCTGGAGAATCCCACTCCTCACACAAGGAAGCCTTCGTGGCTAAGTTAAACCAAGGTGGATGTGATGAAACCAAGTGAGGATGGGAAAAGGAAAAGGAGCAGGGCAGGAAAGGGTAGGGGTGTTATTGCATCAACAGAAATGGTCAAGTACAACTGGTTTGAAGTGTTTCAGGGGGTGGTTTCTGTCCCCTCGGTTGTGGGGGGTGGGATGCCAAGGTGTGAGCTGGGAACATTGTGGTACCTGCTGTTCCAGGCCCTCCTAAATGTCCTTAGAGGTGGTGCATGAAATGCTCCTTAGGGAGGGCAGGGAGTGTGTAGGGACCCCAAAAAGGGTCCACACCTTGTCCCCCTGCCAGGCACAGGCTCAGAGCTTTGTGGAAGTGGAGCAGAGATGCAGCTGCACCTGAGCCTCAGCCATTCAGGCACCCCCAAAGCCCCTGAGGATGGTGAAGATGGTGAAGGTTGCCCATTCAGGAGTGCCAGGTTTTATTTAAGTGCCAGACTGGCAGTGAGGTGCTGCAGACCTGCCTGCCCTCTCCCCTGGGAGAACCCAAAACTGAAGGAGCCACAGAAAGAACACAGACTGTCCGGTGAGGCAGGGGCAGGTTTGGACAGGAAGGACAACCGCAGGTGGCTGTGCAGGAACACTGGCCTGCCAGGGATGTCCCTCCAGCGTTTTTTGTAGGATCAGTGTCCAAGCACCCATGTGGTTCCTCCCAGCTCTGTTCTGGGTGCTCAGATCTATTCCCCTCTCCATCCCTCCACCCACCAGTGCCTTTGTGCTCTGACAGTGCCTCCCTTCACCGCTGCCTCCACCTTCTCTGGGGCTCTGGTGGCAGCAGATGGTCTGTTGTGTCCAGCCAGCCAGCGCCGAGCCGAGGTCACCCCGCTCTGAAGGGAAGACAAAGCCCAAGGCAGCGGTGCCGGTGCCATCGCCCTTCCCAGGCAGGGGCTGCACGGGGCCTTTGTGCCGCTCACAAGAGCCTGGTGTGTGCTCTGGGGTGGGGAGGGGAAGAATTTGGCTTTTCACTGAGCTCATGCATCCCATTTAAAAGGCAGCCATCTGTTTTCGCACGCCCAGCAGAAGGCAGCGGGTTCAGGGGGAGCTTGGCACAAAGAGGGATTTCAGGGCGGCTGCGCTGCTCTCGCAGTGGGCAGAGCTCGGTGCACAGCTCCCTACCCTTCCCTCCATGCCAAACCCTCCTGCCCACCTCAGGAGCTCCCCAGGCACCAGGCTGGGCTCAGGGATGGAGATGGGAATGAGATCTGAGCTGCCCCAGGACGGGACAAAGGCTGATTCCTGCCCCCACACCGCCACCCCACTAACAGCACCCGTCTCCCTTTGTGCAGGCGATCCATGAACGAGATTGTTTGTGTGTCAGCGCCCTCAGCCCATGGCCTGGGGGCTGTTCAGGTCTCTGTCAGCGTGGACAGGGCTCAGCTGGAGAGGACTTTGCTGTTTGAGTACATCGATGACCCCAAGGTGCAGCACATCGAGCCCGAGTGGAGCATCGCCAGGTAACAGCTCTGACAGCGCCTCCGTGGCTCTCCTCTGCTCTGGGGCTCCTCAGCACACAGCCAGGCCAAAAAAGGGGCTGTTGGGAAATGCACATCCCACCCAGCATCCTGAACAGGTCAGGGCTGGCCATTCCTGGGGTTTGCATTTCCCGCAGGTCAGGCCTGGGGTTACCAGAGGGGTTGTGTTCAGCCAGGCAGCGACAGCAGACCCCGCACCGAGAATCTGGGGGCACAGCCTAAGGCCAGATCAGCCCCTCTGCTGCAGAAGGGCACAGCTGCTCACGAGAGGCTCCTTCTTGTGCTCCTGGAACACAAGAAAGGGAGAAGCTGATGTTAATCAAAAGGCAGCATGAGCAGCGGGATTGCTGCCGCTGCCTCATCACGGGGACATTGCTAAAACCCCTGGGCTGAGCTCATCCTCTCCAGCCTGACCCCACTGGTGGCTGAGCCCCACAGCACCTCAGGCCAGGCTCTGAGCTCAGCCCAGCCCACTCTGAGCAGCCTGTCCTGGCTTCCCCACAGCGGACACACACCCCTGACCGTCACTGGCTCCAACCTGGACGTGATCCAGGAGCCCCGGATCCGCGTCAAGTACAACGGGAAGGAGTTTGTCAACGTGAGTAGGGGCTGTCAGCTGGGAGCCTCCCCCTGGGTGGGGAACGGTGCCTCCCTGGGGAGGTTTGCCATGGCAAAAGCTGCTCTGGGGGTGTTTCCTGCACTCCCCCAAACTGGGAACACTGGGAAGAGGGAATTTGGCAGGCGAAAATGTGAATTTACCTCCTTCCCCTACCTGTATTCTTTCAGTCCATGAGTGAGAAGCTGAGACGAACCCCCAGCTAAATGGGGACTAAGCGAGGTTCCTGTGTGTGCTACAAGTAAGAATTGCACCTCCAGGACCTCAGAAATTATTCTGACCAAAATAAAACTGGAATATATTGTTTCTATGCAGTGATCTCTGTGACTGAGTCTGTATTATCTTGGAAAGGGCAAATCACTTAGCGGTCTTTTCCTATTCCTTTTCTCCCCCTCAAGACCTTTTTCATCTGAGCTCTTTTTAAAAAGACATCTAATTTTGTTGCTAGCAATTGCAGTTATAGCGCTACAAAAATAATTCTGAAGACACAAAATTGAGCGAAATTAAATCTTTCACTTATGGAGGGAGGCCAAATGGTTGGGCTCTTGCTGCTTTACAAGGCAAGAGCCCCATAAATCAGTGATTTCCCTGCTTTGAGGGCTGGAGGAGCTGTGGGTGTCCTCAGCCCAGCAGGAGATGACCTTCATGTTCTCTCCTGCCCACCAGAGTCACAGGATCCATTCCCTTCCCTCGCTGGCATTTGGGAATGGCCTCTAATCACCCATTGCAGCAGGGAACAGGTATTCCCTGTGGGTCTGTTTCTGAGCTAGAGAGGAGGAAAGTGGAAAGAAATGGGAAAAAATAAAGGAAAATAAATGAGAGCTGCAATGTGAGCCTTTAACTCCACTGAAACACTGCTCATTTTGGGCTCACCTTCCATCTCCACCCCATTGCCTTCGTGCTGGCTGGAGGAGAAGCAAATTACCCCAAACCACGTCTGTAATACCTCACAGAATCAGTAAGGCTGGAAAAGACCTCTGAGATCAGGGAGCATCAAGGCTGGATTAAATATTTCCAGCAAAGCATGAATCCACCGGACTTCCCAGCCAGCAGAGCAGCCCAGCCCAGCTCAGGGCAGAGTGTTCCCTGCTGTGTCTCTGAAATGTCCCCTTCCCCAGGTGTGCAAGGTGGTGAACGCCACGGCCCTGGCCTGCCTGGCGCCGCCGCTGACCGCCGAGTACCGGCCAGGGCTGGACGCCGTGGAGCGGCCAGACGAGTTTGGCTTCATCTTCAACAACGTCCAGTCCCTGCTGGTCTACAACGACACCAAGTTCATCTACTACCCCAACCCCACGTTTGAAATGCTGAGCTCCACCGGGGTGCTGGAGCAGAAGCCAGGCTCCCCCATCATTCTGAAGGTAGGGAGAGCCTCACTCAACCCTGGGGAGCTCACAAAAACCCCAGAGGGAGGGGGTGCCCTAAAGAGAGCCCTGTTGTTTGCGCGAGATGGAAGCTGGAGGAAGGTGCTGCATCTCTGTTGTGTCCTCGTGTCCCCAGGGCAGGAACCTGTGCCCGCCCGCCCCAGGAGGAGCCAAGCTCAACTACACGGTGCTGATCGGGGAGACGCCTTGCGCCGTCACCGTGTCCGAGACACAGCTGCTGTGCGAGCCCCCCACCCTCTCCGGGCAGCACAAAGTGATGGTGAGGGGCCAATGTCCCACCAGCATCCCCTTCCCCTCTCCTCTCCCCCCTTCTCCTCCTTCTCCAGCTCCCTGACTGGCTTGGATACACAATCCCCTGTAGGATTTTAGATTTTATGCGTCTCTAATTGGAAGTAAAATATTGATGTGGGTTAGCATGGAGAGACTTTGTCCTTCCCTGAGAGGAAAATGCCCCTCAGCCCTCTAGAAGGAACAAACCTTTCTGGCAGTGCCTTTGGCACTGGGTGCCAGCCTTCCTCTGGATGAAGTTGAGGCCATTCCCAGTGTTCTCCCTCCTGGAGGGATTTAATCAGCCCACAGAGACAGAACTGGCCTGCCAAGCGGATGGAAAGGTTTTGCCTTTTCCCCAAGCAGGAGCCAGGAACATTTGAACTCTGGAGCGTTGGATCAACAGCCTCATCCAGGATAGCAGTCAGTGCCTCCCTCTGCTCTGGCTTTGGGCATCGCTGCTTCCTCTGCTGCTCTCGCAGACCAAACCCCAGCTGCCGAATTGCCTGAGCAGAGCCCAAATGAGATTGTAATTGTGATTTATTTCCCTTGAAGTTCAGCATCCAAAACATATTCAGATTATCACAGTGTGACTCCCAGAAGCGCAACCTGGCTGAGAGCTGCTCACATCTGTGGCCAGGGCACATCCAAGAAAAGCCTGTCCTGGTGTTAACTCCAGCCTGTTTGCTCCACAGCTTTCACGTGGAGCTTTCTGCTCCCTCCTCTGCTCTGTCCTTGCAGTCACTCCGGTTTCTTGTCAGGGGAATGATCAGGGGCTTGTTCATGTCCATGGTTTACAAAAAGGAGTTGAAAGCTTAAAAAATGAAAGTCAAATGGAGCCATCAGATAATAAGAGCAAGCCCAGATAGTGAAGGGCTGGCACATTTATCATCGCTTGAAGCCTCCCTGTGTTCACACAAGCAGCCCCCTCTGTGCTTGAAGGCACTTGGGGTTTTCTGCTCCTCAGCAGAGGCGGCTCGGTGCTTCCCGAGGGATCTCAGCCCTGTGCTGGGCAGGATGGGGCACAGGGAGGCTCCCCAAGCTGCTGCTCAGCTGTGCTGTGCCCTGCAGGTGCGTGTTGGAGGGGTCATCTTCTCCCCTGGCTCCGTGAGCATCGTCTCCGACAGCCTCCTGACCCTGCCCGCCATCGTCAGCATCGCGGCCGGCGGCTCGCTGCTCCTCATCATCGTCATCATCGTCCTCATCGCCTACAAGCGCAAGTCCCGTGAGAACGACCTCACCCTCAAGAGGCTGCAGATGCAGATGGACAACCTGGAGTCCCGGGTGGCCCTGGAGTGCAAGGAGGGTCAGTGCTGCCCGGGGCAGGGTGCTCAGCTCCAGGGCTGGGGTCCCAGTTCTGCCCCAGGGGTGCAGTGGGAGCTGGCTGGGTGCTCCTTGGGGGTTTTATGGGTGTTCCTTGGGGTTTGTGGGTTCTCCTTGGGGTTTTATGGGTGTTTCTTGGGGTTTTATGGGTGTTCCTTGGGTTTTATGGGTGTTCCTTGGGGTTTTGTGGCTTTCCCGTGGGGTTCCTAGGCCTGCCCCACCGCGGGAGGGTGGCAGCCAGCAGTGTGTGAGCAGCAGACACGGCGCTGATGTGCAGAGAATGGGATTAGAGCTTGATCCTGGCTCACACTCACGAGCCCCACAGAGCCCTGCTGAGTGTCCCCTTGCCCTGTGGCTTTTGAGTGAGGGGATTTTTAAAAGAGAGGGGGACAGAGGGGGCTCAGAGCCCCAAATAACAGCGTGGGTCCCAGACAGGAGACAGGAGGGCTGGAAAGCTGGGCCAGCCTAAGTGTAAGCCTAGAGCAGCAGGAGCAGGCTTGGGAGGGAGGAAGAAGCTCCTCAAGCATTTGCTTCTGTGAAATTTTGGGTGTTATTTGGAGCACCCAGAGATGCTGCTTGCGAGTTTCCACATGGACAGGTTCCCTTGCACGGAGGCAGCTGAGCCCCCACACCCCACAGGTGAAGGTGGGTTTTTGGGGGGCTGCTGCTGTTGTTTCCTACATCCTCCCACCTGGGAAGGGGCTTGATCAATCAAAGTAAAATAAATAGCTGCACATAGTGAGAGAGAGTTGCATTGGATTTGTTCAGCTGATTTCAAGGGTAGCCTTGAAAGCACAGGGCAAAAATTGAGATATATTCAGGAGAAATCACAGACTTGGCATGGCACAGCCCAGCTGGGGTACAGAGGCTTCCCTGAGCCAGCGTGTCACACTTCGGAGAGGAAACACGAGGAGACACATCCAGCTGTACAACACGGTGTTAGGAGAGGAAGGATAAATCCCTTCCTGACCCCTGCAGCAGCTCAGATTTGATCTGCATCAGATTTGATTATCTTGGCAACTGTTGATAGAGGAGGAAAACAAGAAGAAAGGAAAATAGGGGAGACACCAAGTTATGAAAACATATCCTTGTTTCTCTGTGCAGCCTTTAAAGGTGTTTTAGGTGTGTGTGCACAGGTGTGACCTGCATACAAATTAAGCACAGCTTTGTTCTCAGTCTCTGCTCTGAGCAGTGCCTGCTCTCCCTCCCTCTGCTGCTGAGACCGAGTGTCCGAGGGTGTCCGAGCTCCCTGGGATCCCTTCCCGAGCGATCCCCTCCTGCTGTGCCCACGGGGGGAGCAGGCAGCCAGCCCTGCCCAAAACCTTCTCCCAAAGCCTCTGGGTGCTGAGCTCTCCCTGTCCTGTTCTCTGGCCCTCAACAGCTTTTGCAGAGCTGCAGACAGACATCAACGAGCTGACCAGCGACCTGGACCGCTCCGGGATCCCCTACCTGGACTACCGCACCTACGCCATGCGCGTGCTCTTCCCAGGCATCGAGGACCACCCTGTGCTGCGGGAGCTGGAGGTAAATCCCGCTCTGCTCCAGCTCTCCAGATCCCCCCGAGCCCTCAGGAGAGCTCTGCAGCATCTCTGTGCCTCCAAACCAAACCTTCCTGGATGCCCTGGGGGCAGCAGGCTGAGCCCCGAGTTCATTTTAACTCTGGAGTTTAAATTCCTTTCGGTTTCTCCTCCCCGGTGTCATTTTGTGGGGTTTATATCTCTAGGGCAGCGGCAGAGCAGGGCAGAGCAGTTGTGGTGTGATTTAAAGTCCTCCTGAGCTGGTGGGGCAGGGGATGGGTGAGTGCCCGGAGCATCCTGCCCGGAGCATCCTGCTGCTGTTCCCTCGCGTGTCCACAGGAGGGCAAGGAGAATGCCCAGGCATTCCAGCCCCTGAGCAAGGGCTTCCATCTCCCGGTTTTTTCCACCAGGATGTGTAAAAATACATAAAAACTTTCACTGGGAATACAGAGGAGTTGGGAACGTACAAGGGTCCCTCAGTGCACCCGGCAGATGGGCCCTGCTCGACAAAAAAAAGGGCTGGGGCTTCATAAACATCACCTCACTCATAAACATCACTTCATAAACATCACCCTCATGGGGCTGCCGTCCTCCCCATGGGATGGGGCTGTGATCCCACCCTGGGATGGAGCTGGATCCTCTCCAGGGGGGATGGCCAGAGGCTCAGCTCAGCTTTTCACAGACTGGGGTTGCACCAGCAAATCCTGAAATCCTGTTTCCATCACACAGACCCGGGCTGGACGCAGGAGGGAGAAGTCCTGGTTGCTCTAGGGCTGGATTCCTTTTCCAGGCATCACTTCCCACCATTAAAGCGTTAATTTGGGTTCCTTTCCTTGGCCACCAGCACTGAGCAGTGGCTGTGGTGCTGCTCAAACAGGAGCAGCCTCTCCCAGCCCATTCCTGCTCCGAATTTTCCAGCTCCATGCATTATGTTTGCTGTTGGAGTTGCCAAAGAAGCCGAGGCTCCAGCAAACAAATATGAATGCTTTTTTATTTTTTCACTGATGAAAAACAGAATTGCAGAAGTGATAAATGTGTTGCCAATTACACAGTTGCTTAATTATGTAACGTAAGTAAAACCAATGCATAACTCTCCAAAATGTTTGGTAAAGAGTTGCTTCATGCAGTTCATCATTTTCACTTGTAATGAATTACTCGAATCCACAACTGGCTGAAAGCCTCAATTAATTTTTTACACTTGGCCCATAATAAAGCAATAGTCTAAATTAGTATTTAATTTACTTACAAGAGTGTCACTTTTTGTGCAGAACAAGCAGGACTGGGTGTCATTTCTGGGGCCGTTAGGCTCAAAGCTGCTGCTTTATGGCGTGCACAAAGTTCAGCTCCCAGCCAGGATTCAGGGGAGCTGGGGAGGGGGAGGTTTGCTCAGGATGGACCAGAAATCACATCCAGGGGTGCTGAGACCCTGAGGGATGGGTGCAGCCAGGGCTGAACCATCCTGTGAGAACTTCTGACCCCCTCAACATCAGGAGGGCATGGAAGTACTGGAGCAAATCCAGAGGAGGCCAGGAAGAGGCTCAGGAGCCTAGAACAGGCTGGGAGAGTTGGGAATGTTCAGTCTGGAGAAGAGAAAGTTGTGTGGGCCCTCCCAGCACCTTCCAGGGTCTGAAAGGGTGACAAGAGAGCTGGAGTTGGGATTGTTCATCAGGAACTGCAGGGGCAGGATAAGGGAGAATGGATTCAGACTGCCAGAGGGCAGGGCTAGATGGGATTTTGGGAAGAAATTATTCCATGTGAGGGTGGGGAAGTCCTAGCACAGAGTGTCCAGAGAGGCTGTGACTGCCCCTGGATCCCTGAAAGTGTCTGAACCACCCTGGGGTAGTGGAAGGTGTCCCTGCCCATGGCAGGGGGTGGCACAAGGTGATTTTTAATGTCCCTTTCCCCCCAAACCACTCCCTGCTCCCGTGACTGGCAGGGTGAGCCCAGGGCTCTGCAGCTCTGCCCTCCCACCCCTCAAATCCCCTATGCTGTGCTGACAGCCCTGCTCCCCCCTGCAGGTCCAAGGCAACGGGCAGCAGAGCGTGGAGAAGGCCCTGAAGCTCTTTGCTCAGCTGATCAACAACAAGGTGTTCCTGCTGACCTTCATCCGCACGCTGGAGCTGCAGCGCAGCTTCTCCATGCGGGACCGCGGTAACGTGGCCTCGCTGATCATGACGGGGCTGCAGGGCAAGCTGGAGTACGCCACTGATGTCCTCAAACAGCTGCTCTCAGACCTCATCGAGAAGAACCTGGAGAACAAGAACCACCCCAAGCTGCTCCTGCGCAGGTGAGGCCGGACGGGCAGGGGACGCGTCCCAGGGGCTGGCACGGCCAGGCTGGTGGGGCTTTCGAGAGGAATTTCCTCTTGGAAAGAGCTGGAAGGGGCTGCCCAGGGAGGTGGTGCAGTCTCTGAATGGCCTGGTCTTGTTGACATGGTGGGGTTGATCTCAGATTGGACTCAATGCTCTCAGAGGACTTTTCAAAGCTAATTAATGCCAGGATTCTGTGGTCTGAGGGCTCTGCAGGGGCTGGTGTTGGAAGGGAATCCCTGCTCTCCATGGAGATTTCCCATCCATTTCCTCACTGTCTCCAGGACAGGGTTTAGCCTTGCTCTGGGAGCTCACAGATGCCCAGAGAGGGTCTCAAACCAGATCCTGTGTCTGTGCCTGGCAGGAGAGCAGCATTTGTGTGCCACAGCCAGGCCAGGAGCTCCAGGGTGGATTGAGCAACTCACCCAAGGCAGAGCTGGGAAGTGGCAGCAAAAAAATAGGGAAAAAATGTGCATTAATGTGGGGCAAGACAGTGGGCACAGGGAAAAGGCTCCGCCCGTTCTCCACGTCCTTGGGGGTCCTGCAGAGCCTGGCCTTGGCCAGCACTGCCCCTCGGCTGTGCTGGGGCTCTGCTGGCACCACACTGGAGAGAGGGGAGGATTTCACAGCCCCAGGAAAATTTCAGGGGTCCCTGCAGCCACAATGAATATACTTGACAGGAAATTGCTTCAAATCTGGCTGTGTTTGCGGAGGCAATAACTCATCTTGGCAAAGGAAGCCGCCTTAATTTCCCCCGTGGTTTGACGAGTCGCTGGGAAGGCGTCTTCTGCCTCAGCCATCAATAATGACTTTTCCTGGTGCTCCAAAAAACACAGGGATGGTGCTGAGAGCTGTGCCTGCTCCTCCCTGCACAGCCAGCAAGGAGCCAGGGCTGTGGGCTGTCTGTCCTTTGGGCTGTCTGTCCTGCACCAGGATTTACCCACTGCACAGGGAACCTGGATCTTCCCAGGGATTGGGCATCTGCCACCGGTCTGGGCAATGTGAGCCAGTGTTTCACCACCCTTGCAAAAACTCCTGCTTTATATCTAGTCTGAATCTATTCCCTTTTAATTTAAATCTTTATTCCTTGTCCTGATACTCCAGGTCCTACTAAACCTTGGGCTGGAGACCTGTCCCAACGCTGTGCCCGCCTGTTCCAGCCCAGTCTGAAACTCCTTGCTGTGACTTAATAAGGAGTGATCAGCCATGAAGTGAAACACTATTTTTTCAAATGTTTTGAGCTCTCTGGTGGCAGCAGTTGATAACTGACACTCAGTTCTTTCCCTCTTTCTTCCTCGCTTTCCCCTGTCTTTCTTCCACGACTGCCCCTCGCGGGAGACAGCAAGAAAGTTGACGTTAAATCAAACAGCTGCTCTGGTTGCTGGCAACAGCAGTTTGGAGACCTAGATAGAGCAGGGAGAATTAATAAAATACATATTTATTTTTGAGGTTCTCTCAGCTCGTTTTGTTTAGGTTTGTTTTCTCGCCTGTGCCTCAGGAAGCCGGCGGAGCAGCCACGGCTCCTTCGGAAAATCATCTCTGGATCGTGCTGTGCCCTCCTGCTGTGGTCAGCATGAAAAGGGCTCGCTCCAAGGCTAGGGATTCTCTTCTGTCCTGGTAATCTCCAGGAGTTTATCTTTTTATTTTTGGAGCAGATCTTTAACAGCATCCAGAGGCTGGCGATGGAACAGTGGTGCTGGAAGGGGCAGCTCAAAACCTGGGGCTCAGCAGATCTAGGGGCTCAGCAGATTTAGGGGCTCAGCAGATTTAGGGGCTCAGCAGATTTGGGGGCTCAGCAGATTTAGGGGCTCAGCAGATTTGGGGGCTCAGCAGATTTGGGGGTTCAGTTGTGTAGGAGAAAGGCCAGGCCCTGGGCTGTGAGGCAGCTAATAGGGAGATTTGCTAATTCTTCATTTAATATTCTATTAACAAAGTAGTTTATTAAATTAATATTCCCCCTAAAGTCCTGAATGCGTTATTTTCTGACATTTTCCCCCTCTTTGGTGGCTTGTGTCACTGCCTCTCCATTTTCCAGAGCTCTTTGGAAGGGTGCTGGTGCTTCTCCTCTTTAATTGGGTGCCTGAAATATTTCAAACGGGAGAATGATGTGTGTGTCAATTTGTAGGATGAATTTTTAGGCAGTTAATCAATTCAGGCTTAAATTCTTTGGGGATCTGCAGACATTTTCACGAATTCCTGACAGTTGTTGCCATCCTAGGAGATGATGGATGATGTGACCCCAGGTCTGTTGGCCGACTGGTGTCAGTTTTTGTTTGTTGAAATCTCTGGCTCCTGTTTATTCTTGATCTGCTTGGCTTTGGAATCAAGCCCTGTGCTTCTTTGGTGTGTGCTTGTAATTCCACTTGGAATGCTGTGGGGATTGACAGCAAGAGGCAGTGCCTGGTTTAAGGGGAAGAATGGGGAAAACGGGTCTGGAGTGAGATGTCAGGGAGGAGGAGGAGGAGTCCTGGTTCATGGTGACGGCAGAGGGATCAGTCCCCAGAGGAAGGGATGCAGGAATTGCACTCATCCCTCTTTGTGTGCTGGAATTTGGAGCAGATCCTGGTGTCGATGAGGGGAAGGCTGGTGGTGCTGAGCCTTGGTCACACTGGGCAGGGTGGTGGTCACACTGACCAGGGACATGGTCACACTAACCAGGGACGTGGTCACACTGGCCAGGGACATGGTCACACTGGCCAGGGACGTGGTCACACTGACCAGGGACATGGTCACACTAACCAGGGACATGGTCACAGTGCCAGGCTGCAGCACAGCAGCTCTTCCCTGCACGGGGCTGGGGCTCCAACATGAGACACCCCGCAGCCACCAGAGCCATCCCATCCCAGGAAAAGGGGCTGTGGGGCTTTAAGGAAAGCCTCTGGGTCCTGCAGAGGCAGCGTTAAAAACTATCATTAGGAGCCATTGTATTTAAATTAGAGATAATCTCGGGCACAATGTGGAGAGGACACTGGGTGGGACTGGGGAGAAAGCTGCAATTTCGCTGCCATTGTCACTCGGCTGTCCCTGATTGCCAGGAACTGCTGCAAATCCCAGTGATTTACTGAGCCAGGCTGTAATTTGCACCACGTGCGAGGAGCCGAGTGTCACCAGGCTGGCTGTCACCGGCCCCATCGGGGCTGGCAGGGGCTGGCAGCTGGGCGCTGGCCTCCTCCTGCTGCCCCAGGAGCTGTGCCAGCCGCAGCTGGGGGGGCTCCGCGGGTGATGTGTGCCCTCCTGCCTCCCCCAGGACCGAGTCTGTGGCCGAGAAGATGCTGACGAACTGGTTTGCCTTCCTGCTCCACAGATTCCTGAAGGTAAGGAGAGCTGGAGCTGCTCTGCTGTCTCACCCTCCAGCTACCCCCGGGCTGCACCTGGGGTCAAACTCTTCCACCAGGCTCCAAAAGATGGAGGAGCAAGGAGGGAGAGGTGGGAATTTGCTCTGGGGATGCTGCTGCTCCATGCTCACAGCCTCCCTCAAGTCTCAGGTGTCCCGGAGTAATTCCCATGTAAAGGAGGTTCTGTTACACCTCTTTGGAACCCAAGGGAAATTCTCACATCTCCATGCCTCAGCTTCCACAGTTTTAAACTTAATTTGTGGCTTTGGAAACCCCACAGAATTCGCTCCAGGGGAGTGAACAGCGATATGGAGATCTCAAATTCCCATTTTTTCCAGCCACACAGATTCAGGAGGGATTTGCCCTGCCAAAGACAACCCAGCCATGGAGCAGTGGAGCTCATGGGTTTGGCTGTGCTCTCCAGGAGCTGCTGGGGGCCAGCCCGGGGCCACGTGTGGATTGAGTCAGTGGGATGAGCCTGTGCGGGGAGGAATCCTCAGCCAGTCGGGGCTGGGAGCCCCGTGTGAGCTCTGGTGTCCTCCTCTCGTGCAGGAATGTGCTGGAGAGCCCCTGTTCATGCTCTACTGTGCCATCAAGCAGCAGATGGAGAAGGGCCCCATCGATGCCATCACGGGAGAGGCGCGGTACTCCCTGAGCGAGGACAAACTCATCCGGCAGCAGATCGAGTACAAGACCCTGGTGAGTGCCGAATCCTGCTGTTCCTCAGCTCTGCTGGCCCTTGGAGCAGGGATCAGGAGGTGGGATCACCTGAGGTGTGAGCGTTGCTGGGCAGCCAGGACCCGTGGCACAGCCAGGAGTGTCCCTGGTGTGCAGGTTTGGGAATGTTTTATCTCCCTGTGCTTGGGGCATTGCCCTCCTGCAGAGAGTGAAAATGGACAGCCAGGGCTCCTCTCTCAGCAATAACTATATAAACATCATAGATGCAGTAGCAATGATGCATTTAGGGCTGCAGTGGGGTTTTTTTATGGGAAGAGGTTGTTGTGACATGTGGTTACACTTCTCCTTTAGAGCGTGGTGTGGTTCTTCTCTTGCAGATCCTAAACTGTGTGAACCCAGACAACGAGAACAGCCCCGAGATCCCTGTGAAGGTGCTGAACTGCGACACCATCACCCAAGTGAAGGAGAAGATCCTGGATGCCGTGTACAAAAACGTCCCCTATTCCCAAAGACCGAGAGCTGTTGACATGGATTTGGGTAGGAGCTGCCCTGCCCGGTGGGAGGGGATGATCAGAGGGGCTGGGAGGAGTTTTCTGGTGTGGTTTGCACCTTGGCCCCCGGTGACCATGGCTCTCCCCTCTCCCCAGAGTGGCGGCAGGGCCGGATCGCCCGGGTGGTGCTGCAGGATGAGGACATCACCACCAAGATCGAGGGGGACTGGAAGCGCCTGAACACCCTGGTGCACTATCAGGTGAGGGAGCAGCCCCTCTGACAGCTCCCACAACAGCAGGAACTCCATTCCCGAGTGTCTCATCTGCCCAGACAGACAGGGAGGTCACGTCTGTGTGACAAACCAGAAGGGTTCCATGTGCTTTAGCATTAGGGGGGAAAGCAACCTTGACACGGAGCTCAGAGGAAGCAGCAGAGTTGAAAATTGGCTAAATGAAACCTGCCAGCCGTGGGAGAGAGGCAGAGGGAGCAGTGAGGGGCTGAGCTGATGCTGCTGGGGATGAGGGGCCTGGGGAGGGGCTCAGGACTTTGTCTGGGGGGTCTGGAGCAGCAGGGGAGGCATAAAGTCCCAGGATAGTGGAGCCAGGCACTGAAGATGTGCCTGGGTGGGAAGACTTAAGAATTTGTTGCCATCCTCAGCTTCTGGATAGGGCAGAGTCTGTTGGAAAATGCTCCTTACAGTGTGAAAGATGGGAAGAGAGGGAGCTGAGGAAGGTTTGGATAGAGGGAATCAAAGCAAAAGGTGGGAGGAGAGGTAAGGAGGGGGCTGAGGAAGGTTTGGATAGAGGGAATCAAAGGCTTTCCCTCGCAGCCTGTCTGCAGCGCAGGATAACTGCATTAATTGGGACCTGTAACCTACTCCTGTCCATCACCACCTCCCCAGAAGTGTTTAGTATTTAATCTGGCATCTCTCCCTGTTTATCCAGCATCTCCAGTCCATCAGCCTGCCTCACGCTGGGGGACTTGAATGGGAGCCAGTATTGACAGGAGCCCTGCAATCAGGAGCGAGGCAGGAGAGTGCCATCAATATGCACAGTGCATGTTAAAAAGCACCTCCAGGGTCAACTTTCCCAAGCAGCCCCCAGGATTTAAACACAGATTACCGTAAAATGTCAGAGGAGTTGCGCAGATTAATTCCATTGTTCCTAAAAATCTGTTTTACCTGACAGTTGCAAGGGATTAACCAACATGCAGGGAAGCAGCGAGACTTTATTATGCCTTGATCTTTAAAAGTCATCGTGAGGAAGTCACAAGTGAAAGCTGTGCTTGTCTGATGTGTGCTGGATGCTGGGGGAGGGAGCACTTTCCTTCCAGTGCCTGTGGGAAAACCTGAGCCAAAAGCTTCCCCTTAAAATAAACAAATTCCTCGCAGCACTCGAGATGCTGCAGCTCTCGCTGCCATTTGAATGTCAGGTTTGCTCTGGAAGAAAGGAGAAGTTGGCAGCCAAACATCCAGCCCAGGTAGTGACAGGAGCCTGCCTGCTCTGGCCCGAGCTCTGCTCAGCCCAACGGAGCTGTCTCAGTCATTAAAGAGAAGCCAAAATCTTTTCACTTGTCAAGGAGAGGCTTTGCCGAAATCTAACAGCAATATGTCTATTTTTTATTATATTTTTTTTGCCATTCTTAGCAGTTTGGGGTTCTTTCTGTTGGAGTAAATGTTTTTCTTAGCTATCAAAAGTACAGATGCTCCAGGACTACACAGTGAAACAAGTACCTGGGTAAAGGTCCAGCATAAAGAGGGTGTAAAGTCAGTGGAGTTCCAGGAGTTGCTGTCTCACTGTTTAAAAGGAGTGTGACACATGAACCAGCTGTGGTTCAAGCCATCAAAATCAATGTGGATTTCCAGAGGACTGGTGAAGGTGATTTCTAGATTTCTAGGACAGAAATTAAAGCTGCTTTGTAAAGCTCTGCCCATCTTTTATTCAGAGCTGTTTTGTCTTTATTCTGCTCAGAAGGCAGGGAGATCCCTGGCTTTACAGATGGTGCTGGGAGATGCTCAGCCCAGGTTCCCATCCTGCAGCTCCAGGTGTGTCCCTTGGACAGGTGCTGGCACATAGGAGGCTGCAGGAGGGGGCAGAACCCTCCTGGTCCTCAGTTCCCTGCTCCTGGTTCCTGGGATCCATCCCCCACAGCCCCATTCCTGCAGCTCCAGGGCTCCAAACCACCCTCCTCCTCCTCACTGTGCCCTGAGGGTGTTTATTTAATCCCAAGGGTTTCCCAGCTCCACACCTGGCTGCTGCATTTTGACAATGTTGCTTTTGTTTTCTGCATTAGAATCACAAAAATACAATAACTGATCAAATGCATTTTTCATGGGAAGCCTTCACATACAAAACCCAAATTGGAATTAAAGAGAAATATTCACCTTTCTAATAGTTTTGAAGCACTTCATGAAATTACAGAGAGAGCTGTGCACCTCCTGCTTATTTCTTCATTTATAAAAATAGATGTGTAGCTTAAATAAGTGTAATTCTTTGTTAAATTCTCTGGAGCTGTTATACATGGCAAGGAATTGTATTACATTTGTGTTGTATCCTTTTGGTTTCACGGCTATTAAACTCCATGGGAGAGTCTTACCCCGTGTGGTTTCACTCAGGAAAAAATGAAACACTGAATTTAATATCGAATGATTTACAGTGGCTCACGCAGGGTTAACTCAGAGGCAGCAGAGCATGAATACCTGTCAGCCCCTTCGAGTCTGGAGAGGCCAGGAGACCAGGAAACTGCTTTAAATGAAAAATTAGAAGGAGAAAGGGAAGGTTTGGGTGGAAAATGAGGCTTAGGAGGTGAGGTCGGTGTGGATGTGCAGCTGGAATCGTCATCGCGCCCTCGCTGCTCCGCGCACACACAGCTCGGTGGCCTGGGCTTCCTTCTCCCCCTCCCAGGTTTCATTTTCCCTGTCTTTAAGGTGTTTTGTGCCCCGTGTTTCCAGCTTGAGGAATAATCAGAATATTTATAAAGCTGTAAAGCAGGCAGGCAGCTCGGAGCGGGTCCCGGGGGTGCCGTGGCAGCGCGCGCGAGGAGCGGCCGCGTGCTCCACCTGAGGCTGATCTGCAGCTGCTGGGGCTGAGCTGACAGCAGCCATTCCACCCAAAATTTAGAGAGTGAGAGGCTCTTTTGTGTGTGTGTGGAATTTTTAGTGCCTCTCTCCCGGTTCAGCACAGCCCTGGTGGAAATGGATCCGGCACGGGAGCAGCCTGGGCTCGGGTTTCTCCCTGGTGAAATGGAGCTGAAGTGGCAGCTAATAACAGCCTAAGAAAATAATATCAGCACTGATCACTTCTTCCACTGACTTAATAAATTGGATGAAGTGAAGCAGGAGCAGCAAAGGAAATAATGGAGGTGTTTGGAGTGTTTTGCTTAGAAAAATCTCACCTTTGTGCCGCAAAAACACACGTAACTATTATTTCCACGATCGCCAGCAATAATAATAACTCGGATTTCCATGGATCCTTTCATCTGGCTGGAGCCCAAAGCCTTGGAGGCGGCACAGGTCATTGTGTGCAGCTCACCTTGGTGCTGCAGGTAGTACACAAACCCCTGGAGCTGCTGGGGGAGCAAAACACCTCCGTTCATAGGGTCAGTGCTGACTCCATCATGAGACTCCTGGCAAATAATGCAGGATTTAGCCCCAAAAAGCAATTCCTGCAGCAGGAAGAGGCATTTATTTTGTGCTGAGCCTCTAAAAAGTGTCTGCTGGGGCCTGGCAAGACGTGGTGACTCTGTGTGCCCTCGCTGTGCTGCACCACAGGTCACAAGTTCAAAATTAAAAGCCACTCAGGCCCACTCCCTGGAAACCTGCAGATCCTTAATTAAGGGGAATAAGTTAGAAAACTTCCAGTGACTACCAGATTTATAGGGAGGATAAAATTAAACATGGCTACTAAAATCTGCTGTAACAAAACCTTGTTAGCGCTAATGTTCATTTATAGTTTGACTTCCCAGTGTTTAATTCCTTCTCTGGAGCAGTAAAGGGATAACAATTAAATACCCTGAAAGATGGCTTTATGACTTGCTCTGCTGTAAATCAAACTCTTAAAGTTCGTAAAAATTGCTAAAATAAAAAATGGTTTAATAGGAATGTTTTATGGCCCATAACGTTATTACAGCCCTTTTATTCCCTCTGCATTGTTACTTTAATTGGATCACAACAATTCTTGAGATTCTCATTTTTATTGGGTAAGGCATAATCTTAAATCAGAACGACCAAAAGCATCTTCACCACGTCTTTTGATTTATCCCTCGTTTCCTTCAGGCTCTTCCCAGAACAGGGCTCAGCCAGGCTGGGAGTGTGTCCTGGACTCCCCTTCCCAGGATTTGCTGGATCAGCAGCCAGGGATGACAGAGTGGACAGGGAATCCCCCTGACCTCCTCCTGCTTTGCCTCCCCAGGTGTCAGATCGCTCCGTGGTGGCTCTGGTTCCCAAGCAAACCTCCTCCTACAACATTCCTGCCTCCGCCAGCATCTCCCGGACTTCGATCAGCAGATATGGTAAGAAATGGGATGGCTCGTGGGCAGACACTGCTGGGGAAAAAGCAGCAGATTCCCCCAAAGAACCACCCAAAACAAATGTAAATCCAAACAGAAAAACGTCCTTAGCTGCTGGTTTGGATTGCAAAGGCTTTTCCAGAACAGCAAAAGGACCAGGAAAGGTGAGAGGAGGGAGAAGGAAATTCCAAGAACAGGAGCAGCCTTTGGGAATCTGGGGCTTGGGAAAGTTCCAGAGGCTCAGAGGGCACGGGTGGTGCAGGAGAGAATCTTTGAGCCCCTTGCCCCTGAGCAGGGCTGCACCACGGATGAACCCAATTTCCCCCCAAGTGCAGGATCCTGAGCTCTGAGCTAATGGGTCACAAATGGGGAAGGGCAATCTTAGCACTGAGTGTAGGGATGTGCACACCTGGGAATTCCTGATTTGCATAATAGAAGGGCTCAGCACATTCCAGAGGGTCCCTGAAGATGCTGCAGCCTGAGAAAATGAGCCTGCGAGGTGCCAGGTGCACGCTTGGAACACTAAATCCACAATAATTGTAATAATAGACTTCCATAAAAGGCAGCAGTGGCAAAATCTCTCGAGTGCTGATCTTTCATTATCGTTCATTTCACAGAGTGTTTTACCAGCAAAAAGTCTCCTGACAAACCCATCTCCTCCTCTTGTTTATAGCTCCCAAAATAATGTTGGTTTTTAGCTCGAGTAAGTGTTCTGAGGAGCCAAAACCAGGGGAGTCTTGAGGTACAAACCAGGAGAAAAGGGCATTTCTCCCTGCCAGGTGTAGGTCCACAGAAATTCAACACATCCCATAGCCCAGGTGATGGAAAAGCCAAGGCTGGGTCTCACAACCCGAGCCCTCAGTGCTCATTGATCTCTGTCAGCTGGAAAAGCTTTTGCAAAGCACCAATATGAGCCATCATTGCTCATGTTAAGATTAATATTTCTAATTGTGCCGGCAGAATTTAAATTAGATACTTATTTACTTCCCCTGTTATATATCAGTAGAGAGATATGTTTAAAAATAGAATTACTGCATGCTTCCTGAGCTGTCCCCCTGTCTGTCTCCTTAATTATATCAGTTGGAGCACTCATTTATCTAAGCCTTAATCAGGGATGAAAATCCAGCTACTTTGGTAATGACTTGAGTATTTCCCTCAGCTGATTTACGATCGATCCCCGCACTCCTGATGAGGAGGGTGAGCAGGGAATTGAAGGCTAAACTTGAGAAAATGCACGAGATTCCCAGAGAACAAAGAAATGTAGCAGGAGGAAAAATCCAGCAAGGCCCGTTCGGGCTCCTCAGCCTCGTGTCTCGGCCTGGAGACGCTGGGGATCCAGAGAGGGAGATTTTTTGGGAAGTGAAATATATAAATAAACGTGCCACATCCCCCCATGGTTTCTGAGCAATTAAGGGAGAGTTGTCTGGTGCTCTTTGAGCTCCCTTTTCTCTGCAGGGACAGCAGGAGGCTGGAGCTCGGTTCAGGGATGGCCCGGGGTGCAGGAGGCCTCAGGCCCTGCTGTTGATGCTCAGCCAAGTCCTCATTGCTCTCCTGAAGGCCTCAAGGATGAGCTCAGCAGCTTCTCCTGCCCTTGGTGCTCCTCATTAGTTACAAAATCCTGAAATCAGGGCTCTGCTTCTGCAGGAGTTGGTGCCTGGGGTTAGTGGGACTGTGAGTGGGGGAGTGAGCTGGGACTCAGGGAGGATTTCTGTGTGGATCTGTATGAGGAGTTCACACCAGGAAAAGCTGGGAATGGGGCAGGAAAGGCCATATATGGGAGGGTAAAAAAAAGCTCAATTCAGAGTTTTTTGTTGAATGGAGACCAACACAGATTTTTGGCAAACACCAAATTTTGACTGTGCAGAACAAGAACACAAGCAAAGCGAAAACATGGTGGTTTTCCAGTTCATTTCCCCACCAAAAAAAAACCAAAACAACAAAACAACACAGTGCCAACAATTTGGGCATTATCAGACGTGGTGAGGGCACTGAGGGAGGTGCAGAAGGGTTTTGCTGTGAGCAGGCTCTCTCCCCTGGCTCAGACTCCACGTTCCGCTACACCGGGAGCCCCGACAGCCTCCGCTCCCGCGCGCCCATGATCACCCCCGACCTGGAGAGCGGCGTCAAGGTCTGGCACCTGGTCAAGAACCACGACCACGGCGACCAGAAGGAAGGAGACCGGGGCAGCAAGATGGTGTCTGAGATCTACCTGACCAGGCTCCTGGCTACAAAGGTAACTTGGGCTGAATTCACGGGGGGAGTGCACGGTGAGGCTCATCGAGCGGTTCCGTGCAGCCCCTCTGATGCTCAGCTCCAAGGCTGGCTGGGTTTTCCTGGGATTCGGGATTTGGGATTTGGGATTTGGGATTTGGGTTTTGGGTTTTGGGATTGGGAGAGTCCTGGAGCAACAAAAGAAACACAGCCCATGTTTCCTCACGCTCAAGGCAATATCTGCAATTCTCCTTTTTTTTTTTTGCACGGTGTTAAAACACAAATTGGTGAATGCAGCAGTGCCTGGAAAAATTTACCTATTTCCTCGACCAGACACGGTTTTCCTGCCTTTCCCCACGTGCTCATCAGTGTGGTTAACACAGCTGTGCTTTGGAAAGCTAAAAAAACTGTTTCAGGTTAGAAACAAAGAGTAAATGAGTGAGTAGCTGCAGGCTGGAGCTTTCTCCTGGGATCCTCCAGCAGCGTTTGAAGAGACCCCGACCTTGGTTATTCCCATGGGATATGTGGTGGCACTTTTTGGGGTTGGTAACATCTGGTGTCCCTTCCTGCCGCTGCTGCTTGGCCTGGGGAGTGCCCGTCCCTCCCCTCACCCCCTGGATTGCTGCTCCTATCACCAAAACTGCAGGAAAACCAGAAACTCTCCAACAACATCTTTTCAATATTAGAGAATTAGGTATTTATTCTGGCCACGATGTGCAATAGAAATTATTTCATCCACACATGCCTGGGTTGTGCAGTGAAAATCATTCTATCACATATGGGATTTTTACCCCATTTTTCACATATTTATACATAAAACCTCCAAAGAAATTCACATTCACTGCTTCTAAATTACGCAATTCTCAAGATTTGATTTCCTATTGGCTATTGATCCTTTCAGTGCTAATTTGGTCCTCATGCTTTGGTTCTCTTATCAATCATTTCCCAGAGCAGGTGTCTCTGATCACACCAGGGGATGATGTTTGTTAATGTTCATTTATCCCCTCTGCATCTTCTGGCTCCCAGAATCTCCCTTTTGTTGGTTGAAGCCCATAAGGCCTCACCCAGAAATTCTCAAACCCTTGGTGAAACAGAGCCTTTTCAAGAGAAAACTTCAACTCCCTCCACCCTGATCAAACCCCTGAATAAAAGGACATTAAGGAAACGTTAGGAGTTGTCTGATTTGCCGTCCTGCTGTCAGGGCACGCTGCAGAAGTTCGTGGATGACCTGTTTGAGACGCTGTTCAGCACGGTGCACCGCGGCAGCGCCCTGCCCCTCGCCATCAAGTACATGTTCGATTTCCTGGACGAACAGGCGGACAAGCACGGCATCCACGACACCGATGTCCGCCACACCTGGAAGAGCAACTGGTAACGGGAGCCAGCCCCCGGTGCTCTGGGTGGAAAAAAAAAGATGTGGGGAATTGTTTTGGGAAGGGCTGGGAACAGCCAAGTGCTGAAGTGGGTGAGGGACACAAAGCTGTGCTGCCCACGGGGTGTGAGCCTGGGCTGGGCTGCTGCTGTGGCGTTCACAGGATCATAAAATCCTGAAATATTTGGAAGGGAAGAGAGGGATAGCCTGGCTATCTCAGAGTCCTCTACCCAGGGTGGGAGCTGGACGCTGCCCTCAGGCTTTTGGACTTTGGAAAGAGTGGGAAGTAAGGCTGCAGTGCCTGCCCTGTGCTGCCTGCCCAGCCCTGCTGTGCCACAAATGCCAGCACTGGCTGGCAGGGGAGAGCTCAGCCAGTGGCTTCACCTTTCCCAGAACTTTGGGAAGCACCTGGGGCATTTGGGCATCAGCAGGAGGTGGCACAGGGAGAAGGAGCCAGCTCTGCATGCCCCAGGCGTGGGCTGCAGCCAGGCCCAGCCTCTCCAAACCCTAGGAGCTCTCACATCTCTGCCTCTGCTGCTATTTTAGGATTAAAACCTCCGTGGGTTGGAAATTTACCTCTGCAAGAAAGAGAAAAAAGCACAACAAATGGTTGTTCCCTTAAAGACCTTGTATTTTCCCCTGAGTCTCTCGTGGTTTAAAAGGCCTCTAATCATCATGGCTGCAAAAGCTGGTTCCCTGCTAAGGCAGTGGGAAGCTCAAAACAATTCATTTAAAGCCTAAGAAGAGGGAGTTATTGGGATAAAAACTGTAGAATCAGAAGAAATTATGAGAAAAAAGAAAACAATGACCACCGGAGTTTGGTCTGCCAGAGCCACCAGGCCCCACCAGGTCTGGGCCTTCCTTCTCCCTATCTCAGCTGAGCTGCAGCATTTCCAGAAAGGGAATTTTGGTGACATGGATGGACATTTTGGCCCCTGGAGCGGGTCAAAGCAAATGGAAATTCGGAAGAGGGAGTTGGGGTGGCTGGGGCTGAGCTGCTCTCCTGCAGCACTGCAAGAGTTAAGGCTGCAGCCTTCATTGAGCTGGAGAGACAGAGAGAGCTGCGACTTGAAAGGTAATAGAAAGCAGCAGCTGCTTTTTTGATCCTGCTATACAGCCAAAGAAAAAAAGGAATAATAATTCTCCTTTGATTGCAAAGGCCCCGGGATTTGGGGACAAAGCCTGTGATTCCTGCTGCCGGCTGGCAGTGCCGGAGCGCGGCACGGCCGGGCAGCGCTGATCAGCGCCGGGGCTGCCCCGGCTCAGCCCACACCACAGCCCTGCTCTAGCCAGCTCCTCCCAATGGGCTCCTCCTGCAGGTGCTCCCCCAGTACCCCCAGACTGCCCAGCCCTGCCCTCCTCCCCTGTTCCGTGTGGGATCCGAGCCCGAAGCGGCTGCTCAGCATGGCAGGATCCATCAGCAGCCATCTGGGCAGCACTGGGCTAACTGGCCTTGGCCCAGCTCCCTTCTAAATTCTTTTCTTATTCTTCCCACTGTTTGTGTTCTGCCTGGGAGCACCATCCACAGCAGGTGCCCTTTCCTTGCCTTTATCTTCTCATTTCATTTTGTTTCTTGCTTTCCCTCCCAGCCTCCCCCTCCGCTTCTGGGTGAACGTGATCAAAAACCCTCAGTTCGTGTTTGACATCCACAAGGGCAGCATCACGGACGCGTGCCTCTCCGTGGTGGCCCAGACCTTCATGGATTCCTGCTCCACCTCGGAGCACCGCCTGGGCAAGGACTCCCCCTCCAACAAGCTGCTGTACGCCAAGGACATCCCCAGCTACAAGAGCTGGGTGGAGAGGTGAGGGCAGCACATGGGAGAGGGGGTGCAGGGTGCTCTGGTCCTGCCTGAAACCCCATGGACCTCAGAACAAAGCACCCTGAGTGGAAGGGAAGCACAAGGACCATCAGCGATGCTGCAGGGTGGTTCTCAGCCCCGCCAAGCATCGCTGCTCTTGTTTTCAGATCATTACAGCCCAGAATCCTGTTTTGCTAGATGTAAGCACAAAGCAAAATGATGTTCTTATCCCTGCAGAGCTCAGCTTAAATCTCAGGGGGAACAGGGACATTTGTAGCGTTCCTGTCTCTCATTTTTCCCCTGACTCCTGGTTCCTGCAGGTATTACGCAGACATCGCCAAGCTCCCGGCCATCAGTGACCAGGACATGAACGCCTACCTCGCCGAGCAGTCGCGCCTGCACGCCGTGGAGTTCAACATGCTGAGTGCACTCAACGAGATCTACTCCTACGTCAGCAAGTACAGCGAGGAGGTGGGTGTGGGCAGCAGTGTCCCCCGGGCCATGGTGTCCCCTGGAGTGATGGTGTCCCCTGGAGTGATGGTGTCCCCCAGGCCATGGTGTCCCCTGGCCCATGGTGTCCCCTGGGGCGATAGGGCCCCATGGCACGTGTGTGGGAGTGCAGATGTGGTGCTGGGTTGTGTTGGGATCCCTCTGCTGCCTCCCAGAGCTCCTCGCCCTCCCTTCCCTGGATGCAGCCTGACCGGAGCTGGCTCCGCTCCTGCCCCGCTGTTCTCTTCACACACAGAGGGGTTTGGGTTTGGCCTCACTTGTAGCATCCTCCCCAGGAGGATTGAGAGCTAAAACATTGTGGGAGCACCTGGATACCTCAGCTCTGGCATGCACCCAGTGCAGTGGAAAATATTCACGACCCATCAAATCTCCCCAGAAACCTCAGTGTCCTTTGGGAGCAGCATGGTCCAAATCCCTGTCGCGGTGGCACAGGCTCCCGTTTGCAAAGGCTTCCTGGCAGCCTGAGCTCCTTTAATGAATGCATCACTTGAAACCAAGTTCTCGCCATCTGTTCCACCCCTTCATTTCGCTGCAAGAAGAACCGATTTTGTAATTATGTCCGTGAAACGGAAGGGTTTTGTCATTGAACTGCGTGTAGCCATTTGTGATACAACGCCACGGCTATTTTCCCATTAGGGTTGAAAAATCTCATCACTTTCCTGCTAAACGAGACAAGAAACGTGGCACCAGAGTGGGTTTTGTTGGGTGGGTATCGAGGGGTCCAACAAACCAATGACAGCCAAGTTGCTTTGCTATTTATTGGGATTTCACACCTCCCCACTTGGAGCTGCTCATATCTCGCTGTCCACCCACCTCTCCCACCCCCTCTCTCACACCGATTTCTCTCTCTGATTCTTTTTTCTCCCCCTTTTCCTGTTTTGTCCCCCAGCTCATCGGAGCCCTGGAGCAGGATGAGCAGGCTCGGAGGCAGCGCTTGGCTTACAAAGTAGAGCAACTCATTGGGGCCATGTCCTTCGAGAGCTGAAGAAAGGTCACGGACAGCAAAGGGCAGAGGATCGCACAGACTCTCGGGAATTTGGAGGGAGAACAAGCAAGGAAAGCACTGGACACACCCCCCAAGGCTCTTCTGGAGAGAGCAGAGCTTGGCCCAAGGACTGGCCGTGTTCAAAAATCATACAGGATCCAGTTTGAAGGGGCAGGAAGGGAAGAAGATGAATCATCTCAAAGTCCAAGCAAGGTGGATCATTTTTATGAGCGTACATGGAAAGAAGGAACCTGGAAAGTCTGGATGTCTCCACGACTGCTGCTTTGCATGAAAATTGTTTAATGTATATTAGAAAATAAAACTTTATTTAAAGGGTTTTTTTTAAAAAAAAGAAATAAAAAAGAAGAAAAATGAAAAAAAAATAAAATAAATAGAGCAAAAACCACAGAGGCCATAGAGATAATCCTGGCAAGAAGGATCAGCTCTGAATCCTGTCCCCGAGAGCTTTCCGAGGACACGGCTCAGGCATTCTGCGAACGGACTCTCACGCCAATTGGAACATCTGGAAAACCAAAATGTCTTCGCTTTGGGTTCTTTCAACAAATACGAGCACAACTTTGCACCACACCTTTTTACACAAGAGAAATAGCAGTTTTGCCCCAAAATAGTCCAGTGGCTGAGTAACTTAGAGGCACTAGGAGGAACTTTACTGGAATTGCAAAACCATCAGATCATCCAACCTGTCTTGAAGTCCAGCTTTACCCATGTATTTATATAGTGTCAATATATATATTTTTTTTAAAATCCCATTTACTGTCTAATGAGGAAAGATCTGAATTTTGTTGCTTTTCCCTTTTGCACCCTCATCCCACCTCACTGGCTGCCGGTGATCCAGCAGTGTCCAGCAGTGTCCATCATGGCTGTGGAGATCCAGCAGTGTCCAGCAGTGTCCATCATGGCTGTGGAGATCCAGCAGTGTCCGTCATGGCTGTGGTGATCCAGCAGTGTCCATCATGGCTGTGGAGATCCAGCAGTGTCCAGCAGTGTCCATCTTGGCTGTGGAGATCCAGAAGTGTCCAGCAGTGTCCATCATGGCTGTGGAGATCCAGCAGTGTCCAGCAGTGTCCATCATGGCTGTGGAGATCCAGCAGTGATCCATCCAGTGTCCACTGCCGGTTCCTGCAGGTGCCACGTGAGCCAAGGCAGAGCTGGGCCGACACCTCCAGGGTTGGTTTTGAGGTCTCCAGCCATGCCTCCGATGTCTCGCAGCAAAACCCGCCCAACCCTGATGTTTACGGTGACAATACTTGAAAAGCCTGGATGTTGGGAGAGCAGATTTTTGCTGCTTTTCTGCTGGATGTGCGGAGTCCTTTGGCACAGGCTCCCTTTGGGTGTCTCTGCCAGCGTTTGCCGCCTCACCCAGGGCCAGGACTTGCATTTCCACTGGGAAAGGGAGAGAAATCCGCACTCCAGGCAACCTTAACCAGCACCCCTGGGCCAGCCAGCTCTGCTGTCATGTCTCTGTGTCGGTGTCTCGTTGTTCTCTTCAGTTCCTTGCTGGCCCCCACAGCACACGTTCCTGTGGCTGGTGACAGGCAAATGTTTGTGAGTGTTATTTCTTTCAAAGACACCAAAGCTTATGTGTGTCCCTTTGTAGAGTGCCAGGAGGGGAAGGAATGCTGTAAATATTTCTCTCTGTAGTAAATATTGATACGTGTGCAGGCTGCAGTGGGGAGGGCAGGGAGAGGAGGCCTAATGGAAGTACAAGTGTTGGCTGCAGGAGCTTGGCAATGACAGCAAAATAATTCCTGGTGTCTGCCCAGGCAGTGTCACACCAGACTGGGACCTTCCTTTGCAGCCAGTGTGTGTTGAAGGAAAACCCATTTCCATCTCAATCCCCCCTCCTCCACCATTCCTGCCTGAAGGAGCCCAGCAGGGCTCCCAGAGAGCTGCTGGCTTTCTCTGTCCTTCAGTCCAGCACCAGGGGAGGGGAGAAGCACGTAGAGAAATACTCAGGAAACTTGGTTTAATTACCATGCAGTAAAAGCCATGCCAAGTCCACTTTCTTTTGGTAATCCACTTCTGTGAGTCTCTCTGAAAAGCAGAAAATAGTGATGATAATAATCAACCTTGTGCAATAAGTTCTTGACATTTACAGCAGCCTGAGGACTGGATTTACTGAGGCAGGGGGAGAGTGGCAGAAACAGAGACTGAACGGCAGAGCAGTGTTTGTACTGCCTGTTACCCAAGAGTTCCCTTCCCAGGGATGCTGCTTCTGCACAGTGAACCTCATTTCTACTGCAAAAAATGTGCAAAAGTCCTACTAAAAGTCAGGCACTGTGGAGCTCAGCTCCAGGAATGTCATTGGAGCAGTCTCCAGCCTGGCCTGCTCTCTGCTGCAGGTACCACAGGACATGGCAGAGGGTCAGGCTTTGAAGTCCTGCAGTTTTTTTTGCTGGTTCTGTTCCTGCTGTTGACAGTGATCCATCACACAGCTCAGGATTTCCAGATCTGTTCTAGCTGTGATTGTTGGTTTGGGTTCACCAAGTTCTCATGGTACTCTGAAACTCCAAGAGAGCACTCCAAAATTTCCTGAACTATTTCCAAATACTTCCAAAATATCAGTCAGGGGAGTTATCTCTGCAGGACCCACAAAACACGAGTGCAGCCCAAAGCAAAGGCCTGGCTGGGCATCACCTGGGCCTGGTGATGGTGTCCCTGCCCGACAGCCCTCGTGGTGCTCCTCTCTGCATCTCTTTTGTGTAGCCCTTTTAATCCTGCTTTCCTCCTCCTGCTCTCTCCCCTCTGGCCAGGAGCAGCCCCAAGCCGAGGTTTTGTCATTCCCCACTCCCCTGTATTTTCTCAGCAGAAGTGGAGGTCCCCACGCACCCCCTGGATTCTCTAGGAGAACATTAAGGAGACAAGGGGACAACTGAGTTGATCTTCTGTGCTGTGAGATGATTTGAGCAGAGAGAAAAAAGGGGAAGCAGCAGGAGCACTTTTCAAACCGGTTAGTTCTTACACTTCTGACTGAATTCTGAAGGAAACAGCAAAAACACCTCTTCCATCATCTGGAAAAGCTTTAGGAGGATGGCAGAGGGAGCAGCACAGTCCTGGCCAGAGGGGTGGCCTAGAAATACATTGCCAAGTATCTTCTCATGGTGGTTGACATTAATTATGGATCTTTACAGGCAATTATATGGATTGAAGCAACATATCCCCCCGGGGCAAAGTGCTGGGAATCTCTTGCCCTGTTTGCATCCGACATTTCCATTCCTCCTGTGGGAAGAGGAAGCTTCAGATCTCAAAATGGCATTTTCTTTGCACTCACTGCAAGCTGGACTCGAGGTTTGGTCAGGAGGGGGCACTTGCCTTAGATGAAAAGATTTCACGTCCCTCTCATTGCCCTCTTCCTCCTGCAAGGCCGCTCGGTGTTTGGAGTCTCCAGTTCACTCCGTTTCAGGTATTCCGACATCAAAGTGGGAGACGTCACTTTCCGGAATCTCTCTGCCTGGTGTCACCGCTTGAATAATTCCGTTTAATCTTCTGCTCATGAGCTATCAAAGCACCCACTCCGAGGGGGAGCGAGGTGCTAATCAAACGCTTCTCCACCTTGAAAGCCTTTATTAAAACCCCACATATGAGAGTGGAGCTCGCAGGCAAGGCCGGCCCCGCATCAGCCCCGCTGAGGAGCTGCAGCCACCGAAGCTTGGAGGGTGTGGACGGTGAGTGGTCCACGCTTTGCCATAAAGGATGGATTTAAAGGGAGGCAGGAAGGATCAGCACAGCCAAAGCGCTGGAAACCCTGTGAAATCCAGCATGGATATCCATGGAAACCCTGGATATCCTGTCTGCAGCTGAGTGAGGACCCACCGTGGGGACAGCACTGAGAAACAAAACTGCTGCCATGGCCTCACTGCATCCCAGCAGCATTCCAGGTGTGGAATTTCAGGTTTTTCCCTGAAGGATGGCGGTGGGGACAGCGGTGCCTCCCTGCAGGGCTCGGGGCTGTGACGTGCTGGGGTGGTGCCAGCAGAGACCTTCATCACAGCAGTGCCTTCCACACTCTGTCTTAAAATCCTGGTGGCCCTCCCCACATCGGTGTTCCCTCCTGCCTTCCACTGACTCCACAAAAAATGTCCCAATGTAGGAAAGAGTTTGGGTGGGCACGTGGAGGGCAAAGGCGAGAGGGTTTAAGGCTCTGGAGTTGCATTCCGCACGCCGCTGGCTCTGAGCTCCTTGTGGGGGTCTTAGTGTTTAGGTCTGCGTGGAAAAAGGGTCAGAGCATCCCCTGCTCCACTGGGCACAGCCTCCAAGCAAGGATTCATCCCCACAGGTGCCCAGGAGCCAGCAGGGATGGGGAAAGCCAGGTTGGCACAGGGCAGAGCAGCTCCCGGCACAGTCCCTGTGCTGTTCCAGAGCCTCAAGCCCCTTCCCTGGCAGCAGCCCAGCCACGTTCTCCTGTCACTGGCTGTTCTCCATCCAGTTTCCTGCGCTGTCAGAGCTCACCTGTCACAGGGACTCAGTTCCCCAAACTAAATGAAATTAAAATAGACTGACTTGAATAAGCTGGGCCATCAGGGAGAGCTCACGTGTGACTGTGCCCTGGAGAGAAGAAAAAATCTTCCGAGGAGGGTAAATAACTGACATCAAAGAAGCATTAAAATGCCACAGAGCTTCAGCCATCCTATTCCAGAGCCACGTTTGTCCCAGGAATTGCAGGACAATAGTGCAGGGAGCCCTGACATTGTACGGAGTTGTGCGCGAGGAAGAGCTCGGAGCACAGCCCCATCCTCAGTAAAAACACCCAGCCTGGACCCAAACCAGAGACCAGGGGGTCAGAGGCTGAGGGCAAAGCACTGGGGACAGCTCTGAGGCCACCTGCATGGGCAGGATGGTTTGGTTTTATTGATGAGACACTCGGTGTGGAACAATTTGAGTAAGAGGTGCCCATGTGTGCCGCGAGGGCGCCGCTGGGGATCCGCTGGGCTGAGCAACCCCAAATGTGCCATTTCAGTGCAGTTTGGTCAGTTCAGCTTTGCAGGGGAAGAGGATGGGAGCCTTTGGAGCAGTTCTGGCTGTCTGAAAGGCTTTGTGCAAAGCCTCTTCACCCTGAAAATCCCCAAATTCAGGTGCTGCTCCTGTTCTGGGCAGGCCATGTAACAGCTGAGGGTGGTGCCTGGTGCCTTCCTGGCTGCTGGAAGAAAGCTGGGGGTCTGTGGTGTGTGCCCTGCACCCCGGGGTGCTCTGCTGGGTGCTGGCACCGTGCTGGGTGGGGAGGTGGAGGGGTGGGGCAGTGTGGGGTGGCAGAGCTCGATTGCCCCGTGCTGGAAAAGCCACTCCAGTCCCTCCCAGCTATGTGCCCGCCGTGCTGAGGTGGCGCCCGCAGGTGTTGTGGCCATGCTGAGAGCATGGCAGTGTCTCTGTGTTGTTCTTTCAGACCCCACTTTGTCCCCGTGTTTCCCATCCCTCCCCTTCCTCTGTAACCGTGGAATATAATCCTGAAAAAACTGACCTTTCTGCAGCGCTGAGGAACGCGCTCCGAAGACCCGCAGGGTCCATCCAATTGCACGGACAATATCCCAAATATCCCAAATATCCCAAACTCCCGGGCCTCCCGAGGCTGCCAAATCAAACACGGGATCTCCTGTATGGCCTTTCCTCTGGGATTTTTAATACCTCTCTTTCAAATAAGCTCGGGAGTTTATGCAACAGCTTCTCCAGCCGGCGTTTCCATCCCGAGGAGGGCACACAAAGGTGCAAGAGGAGCCGTGGGGAGGGAAAAGAGCTGATTTTGCCACGTTGTTTCACGGCTTCAGAAGATGCAGTAAAAATGTCCTTCTCTTACTGCTGAGTTTTTGCTGGGGGCCGTGAGGAGAAGCAGCAAGGGAAGGCAATGTACAGGTACTAAAATTTCTGGAGTCCCCCCAAAAACGTCACAGAATGTAGAGGTATCAGCCATGGAACAGATTCTGATTTCTTCTTCCCCTTCTCCTTTACAGACCAACCCCCACCAGTTTTAGGGGATTTGTGTATTGGCAGGAACAGGAATTGATTTGTATCTGTGCCCATCCCACCGTATCGTTCTCTGGCTCCTCCCCTCCCCGATATACTTGACACACTGGAGTTCTGTATTATATTTTTTTTTTAAGATGATTGTCTGTTTTTTGTTGTTTTTACAAGTGTTGTGGAAAAGAAAAACAAATGTAAGAAAGTTTAAGTATTTAAAAATGTTCCAAGGAAATAAAAGGGGGTTTTGTTATTATTCTAATATATTATTGTGTACCTATTGTAAATATGAAACACTCCTATTTTGCAAGCCAAGGACTCACTTTGTACTGTTGTTATATATAAATAAAGTTTACTGGTTAAAAAAGCCCTCCTGAGTGGCTCCTTTATTTTCCAGTATGTGCTGTGTGGCATTTATTTATGCCGTGTGAGGAATATTTATTTACTGAATCCCAGCAGCAAAAATGGGTGAGTGGAAATCCCAGACTGCTTTGGGTTTGAAGGGACCTTAAAGCTCATCCCATTCCACCCCCTGCAGTGGGCAGGGACACCTTTCTCTATCCCAGGTTCCTCCAAACCTGCCCAACCTGTCCTTGGGCACTTCCAGGGATGGTATATCTGGAAATAACCCCTGCATGGTGAAACTGGGGTGGGATCCCCAACACTCACAGGCAGGAGCAGCTTTAGGCACTGCATGAAATCCCAGTTATTTCCACTCTAGCTGGAGCAGGAGCAGCAAACCCTGTTTGTAAATAAAAGACCTGGGTGAGTTCATGTTTCCTCCTCTCTGAAGTGCTCAGTCCTTGAGGTGAAACACTTTTGTTTCCATTTCATAAATCCAAGGCAGCGTCTCAGCAAACGCTGAGAGGCATCTGCTGAGTCGCAGGAACCAGCGAGCGACTTTTCCAGCAGCTGTCTGTCAACTTTAATGACCAATATGGTCGCAATTACAGCAATGAACTTTCTCTAACAGCCCAAAATTACTCTGGATGATGATAAGTGACAGAAAAATGGAGACCCTTAAGGAAGCATTAAAGAAGAAACATGTGGATGCGGAACAAGAGGTCTCACTGCTTTTTCTGGGGGATCTTGAGGGTTTGGGTTTTTTTTTTCCCCTCTCCAAATTAGGTACTAAAAAGGATAAATCTACTCCAGAAGGGGAAGGCATGCTGTGGGTCACAGCAGGGAGTTCAGTGCTGCCCTGGGATGTGTTTTTTATGGACATTTGACTGAATTCCCTGGTTTTAGTGTAGGGCTAATGGGGAGATGGGAAGCTGCTCCTGTTTGAAGGGAATGCAAATCCATCAAGTCAGAGCAGCTCTCTGCTCCTCAGGCAGGTCATTCCAGCTTATTTCTCTCAAACTGAGACCAAAGCTTGACACAGACCTCAGGGGGGTGGTTTGGCCACGTCCTGCTGTCTCCCACTTGAAACCAGCAGATTTTAACCTCCCCAGACGGATCCCACGGGCTCTGGGCTGGAAGCCTGGAGCCATTCCAGTGCCGTGACCACCCAACGTGGAGTGGAGCTTTCACATGATTTGTGAATTAGGGAATAATTCAGACTCTTGTTTTTCACCTGCACCTTGGGTAAAACTAAATTTAAATAATTAAACAGGAATTAAACCACGGTTTCCAGAGCTTTCCTGGAAGTGTTTTACCTTTAGAGATGCTGTTCCTATACTGGTTTACCCACGACCACTGCGCTGTAGGACAGACCCTGGAGGCAGGACAGCAGCTGCCAGGAAAATCTCCACTCCCCTTTGGGAGGTTATTGACTCCTTCAGCTCAGCAAAGGAGAAAGAAATTCCAACATGAATCGACAGCATCGACCGTGGGGTCATTTGTATTCATCTGCACCTTGTTAATAGATGTAATAAGGATACTCAATTAAAAATTACATTTTATCTGGCATGCACTTCACAGGCCTTTATTGGCACTGACAAGGTCAAGTGATGCTTAATAAAGGTTATATAAAATGCAGATGGCTTGGATCCCTTCATCATCCCCACACCCAGCGCAGAGGAGTGAAGGGCCACGGACACAGCATGGAAAGAATCAGGAGAAGAGCAGGTTTGGATCTTCCATGGGAAGTTTGGGGGTCCCAGCACTGAAACAGCAGCAAAACACTCTGGGGTTTCCCCTCATCTCCCACTTTGTCCCTGCCACCCCCTGCATCCCCTTGGCCAGCTTTGATTTCACTCCTGAACGTGTGGGATGGTCCTGTTGTTTAATCACTGTCACTCTGCAGATTGTGCAGCAGATTTTGGACGTCCTGGTGCTGGCTTTTCCAGCCTGGTTATCAGGGTGAGCTAATGGAGGTGACACTTCCAATTATCAAATCCAGTCGTGGCATTAATTTTGATCTGTTTAAATTTCAGCATCTTTTCCCTTCTGCGAGTGCTTAGCTGGAGGGTGACATAGAATTGTATGGAATCAGACAGTGATCTCAGACTGGCAATAATGGCCACAAAAATCTCCTGCTTTTTATTTATGCAGGGTCTGCAAATATTTAAGTGGCCAATTCATTTGTAATGGAAATTTAATTCTGTGTTATTGGACACTTCACTGCTTAAAATGGAGCAGTTCACTAAAACCTACATTAAATCCCCTCCTCTCAACTCCAGACTCTTTCCAGGGGACATTTGGGACCCCTCGCCTGCTGGGGTTATAAAAATGATAATTTAATTAAAATTTAAAAGTAATAATAATAAAACATAGAACACATTACCCCGGGTGCCAGGTCAGCCTGGAACCTGCAAAATATCGGTGTTGTCCCAGTCTGAAAGTGATGAGAAGTCATTAATTAATTTAGAGATCATCCCAAAGAGAAATCTTGTCTGTGCTCCAGAATATTGACAGGTCTGTGCAGGCAAGTGGATATAAAATGATGTGAAAGTATAAAAACACCATATAAAATAGATGTACAGCATAATCCAACATGAACATGTCTGTATCTGTTTGGATCAAGAGTACACCCCGAGGTTCATGTTAAACTTAAAATTACAAATATCGATGCCAAAACAAAGGGTTTATTTTTACTCCCAAATAATACTTAGGAAAATGGGAACGACTCAGGCTTTATTGTCACTTCATAATTAACTCCAGTGAAGGAATCTAATTACAAATGTTCGATGCTGCCCTGGGGCAACATGTGTAGGAAAAGGGAAGGAGGATGGTCAGGCTTAAACAACTCAGGTAAAAATGAACTCCATGCTAATATTTGATAATTAAGAATGTCTCTATCAGCTTGTCTGGCTATTAATGAATTGGGCTGTTCTTTTCACATTTGATTACTGGAGTTTTATGATGCCTGCTCGCCTTTATTGCTCCTGGGAACGGCCTTGGCTGTGGGCTGAGCCCCAGGAATAATGGTAGAGGATGAGCTGGGTTGGAAATGATCTCAAATGATCTCAAATGATCTCAAATGATCTCAAAATCCACCCCTGCCATGGCAGGGACCCCTTCCCCCATCCCAGGCTGCTCCAGCCCCATCCAGCCTGGCCTTGGGCACTGCCAGGGATGCAGGGGCAGCCCCAGCTGCTCTGGGCACCTGGGCCAGGGTGTTGGGAGATTGAATTCCATTTTGAGAGCCTCGGCACTGCAGAAACACCAGGGATGAATCCATCCCTTCATCCTGCTGGGTGCAGGGCTGGACACACAGACCCCTCACGTTGGAGCGGTGGGAGATGGCTGGGACTCCCTGGGATGCTGGGCAGGGCTGCCAGAGCTGGCTCTGGACAAAAACACCTCGTGCTGAGGTGACAGTGGCTGTCCAGGACGTGGCCAGGGCTGCTCTGGACACACAAACCCCTCGTGCTGAGGTGGCAGGACATGGCCAGGACCACCAGGACATGGCCAGGACATGGCCAAGGCTGCTCTGGACACACAAACCCCTGGTGCTGAGGTGACAGGACATGGCCAGGGCTGCTCTGGACACACAAACCCCTGGTGCTGAGGTGCTGCTGGGTGGCAGAGCTGCAGGGTGAGCCCAGGGCTGCCGAGGTTGCTGTTCCACACCGGGGCTGGCTGTCTCCCATGGATGGAATTGTCATTCCGCTCCAGCTGCCGCCTGCCTGCAGAGGAGAAAGCGTTTTCTCTTTTGTTCGCACTCAATTAGGCTGAGCTTTGAGGAGAAGATGGGAATGCTTAAAAGTTCCTCTTTTTTTGCAGCATTCAGCCCTGACAAAGGGAAGTGTGGGGATGATCTCAGGGGGAGAGGTGCTCCTGAACGCCTTTGGAAGGATTCTTTTGACGTTCATTTGATTTTTGCAGCGGGAACCTGCGATTTCTCTGAGCTCCCCACAAAGGCATCGCCTCGGGCTGTACAGGGGTTTATGGCCTGGGTCACGGACCTCATGCATATTTTGTATGTGCTGAAATAACATTTGAGCCTCTGACAAGGCCGGGTCAGCGCTGCCAGCTCCCTTCCTGGGAGGGACAAGGCAAGTCACAGGAACAAACACACCAAACTAACAGATCAAGGAGCAGAAATGCTCCAATCCACCCTGGGAGGACTGGAAAACTCCGAGGCTCGCTGTGTGCGTGGTCCAGCCTGTTTGCCTGCACAGGTCGGAGCAGGAGGATGGGTGGATGTTTCCAGAAGGATTGGGATGAGGAATGACCTCCCTGGCCAGCAGCCCTTGCCATGCTGAAGGATGGATTTCACCTCACCTGCTGCAGGTGAATAAAGGAGATCAGTGTTTCTAGAAGGCAAATCACCCTCTGGAGATTCTGGAATTCCCTGTATTCCCGTGGCTGGAATAATTCCCAGTATTCCCATGGCTGTAATTCCCAGTATTCCCGTGGCTGTAATTCCCAGTATCCCCATGGCTGGAATTCCCAGTATCCCCATGGCTGTAATTCCCAGTATTCCCATGGCTGGAATTCCTGGCATTCCTATGGCTGTAATTCCCAGTATTCCCCTGGCTGTAATTCCCAGTATTCCCATGGCTGTAATTCCCAGTATTCCCGTGGCTGGAATTCCCAGTATTCCCATGCCTGTAATTCCCAGTATTCCCATGCCTGTAATTCCCAGTATTCCCCTGGCTGGAATTCCCAGTATTCCCATGGCTGTAATAATTCCCAGTATTCCCCTGGCTGGAATTCCCAGTATCCCCAGTTTCCCGGTGGCAGCAGGAGCTGCTGGAGCTCGGTGTGTCCCGGCAGGGTGAGGCTGCAGGAACGCTCCTGCAGTGGTCTCAGCGCTAATTGCAGGTCACAAACAAACAGCTCATTTACACACAGCCACTAATGAACCGAGTGTCTTTTGACGGGAGCTGTGCCCTGGGGAGCTCTGCGGGGAGATCCCAAGGTTGCTCCTCTGGAAGGAGGCAGAATTCCCTCCCTCCATCCATGGAGGAGCTGCTGGTG